GTGAACTAAGTTTGGCCTCATTGAGGGGCAGTATTTCAATTTGAGTAGGAAAGTGAGAGTAGTCCTACTGTAAACATTTTTTTTTTTAAGGAAAAAAGCATTGGAGAGACCCATTTAATTATACACCCCCTTCTCTACATCCATAGTCTAAACCTGTATGATCTAATAAACATTGTAGCTCTTGATTTTATTGACTGCACAAACTGACCCAATATATGAGCGTTTTCATTGTGTATGCGGGAAGCCCTCCAAACACTTTATGTTAAAAAAACAACTACTGATACTAAAATGGCATATTATTTAGAAGCAGCAAAGAAGTGTTTTCTGCCTGCGAATGTTGAACATATGTAAACTTCTACTATCACAGCTTATCTTACAACTGCCGCAAAAACAAAATGTTCAGGATTTCAAAAGTCAATGCATGTTTGCAAGGTAAAGTTGGCATAGTCAACTAGGTTTCCTCTACACTCAGGTCCTCTTTCAATACTACAAATGGTCCATGCAAGTTACGCACATCACTGGTATTAACTCTGTTCTCTCCAGTTTTGAATGGCACAAGTGATTTTTTTTAATAGATAAAAAACCCTCTTCCCTCCTCTCTTTCCCCTTCCTAGGTATTCAGAAGCACACTGCCTCTGATTGTGCTAAATGCTTCTGGCATTAAGAAGCATTCTGACTTATTTTTCTTTTTAAACAGGATCTAGGTGCCACATGCTCTGAAATAGGGCTGGAAATGCCCCTTTGAGAGATGATGCATGATGACATACCCGTTGATATTAGGCAAGCACATCTGCTTTGCTGTTTCCAGTGCCTGTTAAAAAAAAACAACCCTTTATTTAAGCACCACCACCCAGATTTGCATTGTAACATGTAATTTCATTTTATTACATTTTATTTTTTGAAATTTTGAAAAGTCAACTTGTTTTTAATATCTGATTTTAACAGTGTTTTAATAGATATTTTATATTACTCTTTGTAAACTGCTTTGAGGTTTTGAAGACTCAGCCATATAAAAACTCTCTTAAATAAGTAAGCTCAGTAAACCTTTCCCCTATATTATCTAAAATATCCAGTTGTTTTGCAGGTTCTCAAGGATGTGGCTACTGCTTATCATGATGGCAGTACATGGAGCAGTAAGCTCAGAAGACTTGAATCCTGAACAGTTTATGAATATTGTAAGTAAGTTGAATAATGTATGAATATTGTATGAATTTTTTTTAAATTTTTTTTTAAGCTGAGTAGCAACAGGGAGTCAGTAGTGGGGATGGTGAGGCAAAAGACCCTGGGCCCAAGCACACATGCATATTGTATAAAGGTGCAAAGCCTTCTTTTGCACCCTGCGAAACATAAATGTGCAGAGTTTTTTTTAAAAACTGGGCAACTGAGCGCTGCCCGCCCATGATTCCTGAGCCTCCCCCGATCTCCTGCCCCCTTTCTCCTTTGTTTTGACTGATTGGGGGAGGCTTGGGAGTCACATGCGGGCAGCTGTTGCCCAGTTTTTTTAAAAAAACCTCTGCACATTTATGTTTCACAGGGTGCAAAGAAGGGCTTTGCACCTTGCCTGGCAGAGAAACCACACATCTTGTGCCCCTTCTGGGCAGTGCCCGCCTGCCCATGACTCCCAAGCCTCCCCTGATCTGTCAAATCAAAGGGGGAAGGGGGCAGGATATGTGCACCGCTGGTCGTCCCTGGTTCCCCTTCGGCAGTGGTGGTAGCAGCAAGCAGTATACACTTCACAAGCAGCTCCTGAAGCCAGCCAGAGCCAACTGCACTACCAAGCTGACTCTGGGCTGCTGAGCTTTCCCGGGGACAGATCTGCAAATCCGGGGACTGTCCCGGGAACTGGGGATGTCTGGTAACCCTTCCTTATGCACACGCTCTGTTCATAAAAGCATGTCAGCGTAATTTGCAATACAATTTGTCCACATCGTGAACACTAGTCCCTCAGATTGGAAGCTTGCCAGGTCTTCAACTTAGAAAAGTTGAAGACTGAGAACATGCCAGAGCTCAAGCTGTGTTCCAAGATGGGTGGCAGCCTGAGGCTTGCCTGAACACAGCAAAAGAAGCCCAGTTGTAATTACTTCATGATGCTGGCAAAGCTTCTGTAAGTTTGATGTTATCTGCTGGCAATGGGTGTGTAGCTCTGGCACTGGGTATGTGGCTCTGGCATAGCTATCCTCCTGCGTGTGAAAGGATTGGTCCAGAAAGCACTCAGACAGGGGGGAGTCAATGTAGTGCTCTCCAAATCATGTTAGACTACAACTCCCACTATCCATGCTGGCTGGGGCTGATGGGAGTTGGAGTCCAGCAACAACTGGAGCGTATCCCACTGGCCAGTCTTGCACTGGAGCATCTGCATTGTTTTGTAAGCCATTTTAAAATGAACCACCCCGAGGAGTGGAAAAAACATATATTGGCATATTACTGTGGTGTATTGGCTTGCTGTATCAGGAACTATCTATGCAAGTCATTTCTCAAGTACTGCGCTTTTAGTTTCTGTTCTATTGACAAGCAGCAAACGATTGCATGGTTTCCTCCTCAAATAAACTATATTAAAGTTGCTTTTGTTTTTGCATCCTCTGTGTAGTCTCCACTTTGTACTTTCCAGGGATCTTTTTGTTTTCACCTTTCTTTGTGCTGCCTTTCCCCCCCAAGGGGTTGCTGATAAACTTTGCAGGTATTGGCTCATTCTTTCCCAAATATCCAAAGAGATACAAATATAAATATTCACTCTCGTACATTGCTCTCCTGGGCCATTCTGATCATGTCAGGAAGGATCCATGCTTAATGCTTGGAAAAGAGCCTTTAGGGGAAAACTTTCGGCTTCTAGCAATTACTTTTAAACCTCTACTGGTGGAGGAAATGGTCTAACATGTGGCTTTGTATCCTTACAGAGTCAGATAATCCAGTACTGGGGATATCCTTCGGAAGAGTATGAGGTCCTTACAGAAGACGGCTATTATTTGAGCCTGAACAGGATCCAAGGGGGTACAGAAAGCTCATGAGACCCAATGTCTCAAGGACTCTGTTGTGACTCATTTCATTGTACAGTAATGACCACTAACATGAAGTCTGGTCTGGGAAAGAAAACATGGGGAGGAATGTACTCTTCTGATCTTTCCAGCAGTGTAAACATTTCTTTTCTTTTTTATTTTTTTTTCCCAAAATAAAACACAGGGGTTTTTTTACACACACACACACACACACACACACACTATTTTTATTTTATTTAAAAAAAACCCATAATCAAATCCTTACGTTTATGGGGTTCCCTGAACTCTTCCCTTGGCTTCCGAAGTTCTTTCTCTTTTAACTGCATCTAATTAATTTATTCCAATTTGTTATACTTCATTTTTATCCTTTGTTGTTTTAATTTACAAGTGTTATGTAAGTCCTACTACTATTTTAAAACTTTTACAGTGTTCTTTGATATATTCAATAAAATTGTGCCATTCTCTGCTAAATTTGTTATCCTCTTGATGCCTGATCTTCCTGGTTAGCCTTGCCATCTCTGCATAATCCATCATCTTCAGTATCCATTCTTCTTTCAGTGGGGCTCTTTCTTCTTTCCATCCCTGGGCGTATAATATTCTTGTCACTGCTGACGCATACATAAACAATACATTCTTATCTTTCGGTAATTCTTCTCTTACTAAACCTAATAAAAAAACCTCTGGTTTTTTATTAAAAGTTATTTTGAACATTTTTTCCAGGTCCCTATAAATCATTTCCCAGAAGTCCTTAGCTACTTTACACGTCCACCACATATGATGGAATGTGCCCTCTTTAACTTTGCACTTCCAACATATGTTAGTCGTGCTCTTATACATTTTTGCAAGTCTTGTAGGAGTCAAATACCATCTATACATCATTTTCATGAAATTCTCTTTTAGCTCACAGCAAGTAGTAAATTTTAGGTCCTTATTCCATAACTTCTCAGCAACGTAAACATTTCTAATTGCCAGACAGAGCAATTTTTCCTCCCTCCCTCCCTCCCTGTGTGCTTTTCTTGAGGTTCTCCACAGATGATTTTGGGAAGGCACAGAGTGTTGGTGTGGGGAAAGCCCCATTATGTTAATGGGATGCCTTGAGCTGGCTTATGCAAGCACGCTGGGTTAGTTGAATCCAGCCCAAATGCTCTATCTACAGTTGTGAGCAGGAAGAGAGCCTGATGGCTAGAATACCTGATGGTGCAGCATACCTCCTTCAGTGAACACTGATTTGCTCTACCTCTATTAACTCTGTGTGATGCAATGGTTAGAGCTTTGGCCCAAGACTGGGTAGGCCCAGGTACAAATCCTCAACTGACCAAGAAGCTTCCTGGGTGACCTTGGACACTCTCTCTTACCCTAAACGACTTCATTGAATTGTTGTGATTCTAATACGAATGCGGGGGGGTGGGACTTTTCACAATGCCTAGAGCTCTTCAGAAAAAAGATGGCATATAAAAGTTATAAAGAAATAGATAGCTGCTTCAGAAGGAAGTGGTATATAGATAATTTCTCCATGGTATTTGTGGGCAGCAAAACTGGGGAAACAAAGATTTTTTTCCAGAAGGACTAAAATTCTCTGTTTATTAGGTGCTCCAAAAATGAAAGAAAGAAAGAAAGAAAGAAAGAAAGAAAGAAAGAAAGAAAGACAAGAGGGGGAAAAAACAGATCAAATGTTCTTTCCTGAGAATTTTTGGGTTAGCTCTTTTTTAAAAAAAGAAAGAAAGGGGGTTTAGGTTTCAAGGTTCAGTTCCAAAGTTTCTGCATGTAATATTGAGACTTTAGCTTCCCAACTGAACCGGAACTGGAGCCTATCTTCCTTGCATCCAAACCCAACATTTAGACCCAAGCCTACTGCTCCGTGTTAGATTAAGTTTTAATTTTGTATCTTGTGATGTGTTTTGGAGGTACTAATCAGTCAGTCAATCAGACAATCAATCAATCAATCAATCAATGTCTTTTTTACTTCCAGGCTCCAAATCATCTATACTGCTGTTGCACTGTTTGACCATGGAAGGCAGTGTCTGGGTCACAAATCTGCCGCATCAGAGCCTGGGCTTCATATTAGCAGATGCTGGATATGATGTTTGGATTGGAAACAACAGAGGAAACTCCTGGTCTAGAAGACACCAAAACCTTTCAATTGAAGAAGAAGCATTCTGGGATTTTAGGTAAGTTCATTTGGTGTGTAATCACTGGAATTCACCATTCAATGAGATTTATTCTTTTGCAGTTGAGTGACTGGAATTTGGCATTCAGTGTTATTTTGTAGTTCAAGCATGCTCACCCTTGCCTACTTTATTATGCATTGAATAGACTTGATGAAGGCTAATGTTGGGCTATAGTCAGCCATTAAAGTAATTCTATATGTGTGCTAAATGGTTTTTAGTTCTTATCCAGGCCATAAAATTTATAGACACATCCATGAAATGATTTCACTGCAATCCCTTCATCGACAGTCTGATTTTATGGTCCAGGAAAAGTTTTACCATCTGACTTTGCTGTGATTCTGTAAACGGAAACCTTCTTCTTAGTAAATGTGCTCATGGTTTTAGTGTTAATTTGTTGTATCGCAGCCTGGGCACAGCTGGCCCTAGTAAGTTTCTCTTTCCCCTCATCTTGTCACCTAATTTTAGGTATTTGATGGTAAATTCTGCTTAATCTTCCCTTTTGTTCCTTAAATATTTTTAGTAGTGCTTTCTAGAGAAAGAGCTTATGCTTGTAACCAAAGATTATGAGTGCACTTAATTCTCATTTACTTTGTTTTGTGGTTTTCAGTTTTCATGAGATGGGAATCTATGACCTTCCTGCCATGGTAGACTTCATTCTGCAGAAAACTGGACAGAAGAACATCTATTATGTCTGCCATTCTCAAGGATGCTCTGTGGGTATGATAACTATAAACCTTGGCATGCACTCTATAGAGGGCCAGTTTGGCATGGGATGGTCCAATGTTGAACTAGTTCTTGGTCATATAAAGAATTCAGATTAAGGCATAAAAACCACATCATTTTTTGAATGCACCAGGTATCTACTGTAGATGGCACCAGATATCTACTGAAGTTTTAGTTATCCAAGAACCTGTGATAGGTTTGCTGTCTTTATAAGAAACATAGTACTCTTTGGATATTTATTTGAATGCACGAAAGGGGAAGTGGGATTGTGTGTTGCTGATCTCTTGCATAAGCCTTTTATTGAGCCTGAAAGTGTATGTGTGGGGAACAATTTCTACATAATTGGGAAGTAAGGTTTCAGGGGCATGATTACATTGAGAGAGCCTTCCACGCGGGCTTAAAAAATATTTCTAATTGATGTAGAAATGAGGAGAACTGAATTTAAGATTGGAAAAATGAGAATCTGAGAGTAAATGAAATTGATATGTAGGATAGAGGGCTTCCCAACTCTGCCCCATCGCAAAGCACATAGGCTTCAAACATGTATCTATTCATCTGACATAAAGTCTATGTCATTTTGTTGCAATGGTGGTAATTATGTCATTTAGTGAGGTTCCAATTCCATCCTATAAATTAGCTTTGTATATTGCATGTAGTCTAACTCTTCCATTTTGAAAAAGAATTGTGCCGCATGAAATGAATGTTAATTTTGCTCAACTATGTTTTAAAGTAAGAGTCTGCCTATAAATGCTGCATTACTTAAATTCAAAACTAAGGGATGCTAAACTGAATTTCCCACTCCTCTCTAGCTTTTGCGGCATTTTCTATTTTACCTCAAATGGCTGAAAAAATTAAGATGTTTTTTGCCCTGGCCCCTTCCTATACGTTGCAGTACACTATCAGTGTCCCACTACAAATCATACGCTTTCCAGCAGCACTGGTGAAGGTATGTGTGCAATCATTATCTTTTCACAATTTTCATAAGCTCTAATTGACATGACATAATGGGAGATGTCTAATTTTATGGCTCAAGCCCAGTTTTTTTGTAGGTAAATTAGCTGGGAAAACATGGTGTGTGGTTTTTTTTGGGGGGGGGGGTTAATTAATAATTTAGATTCCAACACCCTTAAATTTTCAGACATGCAATTTGTTTTTCACTAAAATGTTATCATGGCTATCAAATGACAGAAAAGAAAGCACGAAGGATAAACTATTTTTTAAAAAGTACCCTCTTGAGACTGGATATATAGAGTCCAAATTATGAAGACCAAGGATCATAACACAGAAGACCAGACAAGATGTTTTGGCTCACCTTATAAGGATATAAAAAGAATGGTCTACTGAGTGATCTGGTGCCATTGAGCTTCTGTCACAACATTAGTGTCACTGCAGTTTACCAAGATATGCAAGACAAGCAATGGCAAGGTTTGAGCTTCATGGATATATTAGGAGAGCCAACCCACACAGTGCAAACTAAATCAATCAGTCAAATCAACTTGCACCCAACCTTTCTGAAGTTAAAACTCTTCATTTGGAAGATACGTATAATATTTCTACCTTTTAAAGAATAACTTCTGAAAGATTCCAATAGATTCATCTTTTTCCCCTTGTTTTGTAATGCGATAACTTTGCAATTTTTATATTTGGCGATTAAAACCTTTTAAAAAATCAGCAACAAAAAACCCCTTAATATGAACCAGCTACAGGGACATTTAAACTGCCCCATTTAAGAAATGCCTTTGAGAGATTGGGATTATGAAATATCTCTGGCTTTCTGCAGGCTATATTTGGCACAAAGGAATTTTGTCTGCTGAGTCCAAAACTGAAAGCCCTTCTGGCCCGAAAGTGCAGCCGTCGCCTGGTAGATGAGCTTTGCAAACAAGCTCTTTTTCTTGTCAGTGGATTCAATGAAAAAAATCTAAATGCGGTATGTCTCTTCATTTATTTATCATATTTATGACTGGGGTGTATGGGGTGTTAAAGGAGAGGTAGTACTTCTGTTGGGGGACACGTTGTGCCAGTGTGGTGTAGTGTGGTGGAGAGCCAGTGTGGTGTAGTGGTTAAGAGCGGTAGACTCGTAATCTGGGGAACCGGGTTCGCATCTCCGCTCCTCCACATGCAGCTGCTGGGTGACCTTGGGCCAGTCACACTTCTTTGAAGTCTCTCAGCCCCACTCACCTCACAGAGTGTTTGTTGTGGGGGAGGAAGGGAAAGGAGAATGTTAGCCACTTTGAGACTCCTTTGGGTAGTGATAAAGCGGGATATCAAATCCAAACTCTTCTTCTCCTCCTCCTTCTGGGGTAGTTTGTACACCATTGGTCCCCCCACCCTACAGTCAGCTTTCACCTGGCCTGCTAAATCAGGTGAGGGTAAGCAATGGGTCTCAAACCTTTGGTGAGTTAGAGATTTCCCTTGCATGCATAGACAGGCTGTGGCAGACTGAGTGGACAAGACCAGTATTGGATCCAATGCTCAAGAAGGCAGTTTCTGCACATGCTGAAGAGGGAAGTGAGGGGCAGATGGGGCTTGTCAAATGGAAGAAGGGGCTCTGCAGGCCCACGAGCAAGGATGGGGGAGACCCTGGCCGAATCAAGACTCCATATAACATCAGGGAGCTCTAGACATGTCACTGAATGGGCAGGTGGGTGGTGGTGGGCACAGACAACAGGTGTGTCCTGGGTGGGGAAATAGGCCAGATAGCCATGAGCCAACTCCTTGTGGCACATAAGGGCTGTTCATTTGAAGGGTTGTTCACAGTTATTTGAATCATAAAATCCTAGAACTGTGGAGTTCAGGCACCCAGCTGGTTCACACAACTCATTCATGATATACCAGTTGCTATGAACTGCATGTCAGGGTTTCCTCAGCATCAGTTTTGCACTTCAGAAAAACATGTAATAACATATATCTGCTTTTGTCCTCTGCCAACAGTCCAGTACAATGAGTTTTGGTTAAGTGAAATGACTTCTAAATTTACCATTCCCTTACAGAGTCGGACTGATGTATATGTATCACGATTCCCAGATTATACGTCTGTGAAAAATATGATCCACTGGGGCCAGGTAGAGATACTAAGATCTCCCTTCTCTCTCTCATTCTCTCTCTGTTGAATGTTGTCTGCCTTATAAAAACTTAGATATTGTTTGAATAGAAGGGAGCCAGAATAGATTGTAGCTGAGTTTCCAGTGTAAAATGACACAAAAAACGCTGTGAAAAATGATTTGAAAAATGTATTGAATTTTACATAAGCTCACTATTGTCATCTAGTGACAAATTTGTATAATGCACTTAAAACAAACTTTTAACGTTATATTTGCAGCTGTATAGCTGAGTCCCCAATTTAGCAGTGGCAAAACCAGAACCAACAAGCCATTGTAACCCAGACACTGCCTAAATTGGCCTTACCATGAGGTAAAGTGAAGCTGTCAACTTAGGTGGTAGGTGCTGGAGGTGCAGCAGCAGAAGCCCACCTCATGTTTAAGCCAGTGCCCCTGTCCTGAGCCTGTGTCCCAGTAGCAGTAATGTTTGCTTATTGCTAAACTGGGCTGTATGGAAGTCTTGCCTATTTACTTTCTCCCAACGCATCAAAGAGAACACCATTAAGAAAGGTCCTTGGCTGAGTGAGCAGGAAAAGAGGCAGCTACTAGCCTGGCCCACGGCATTTGTTTGAGTGGGAAGTGTGCAAGATTCAAGCAAAGTGCTGGAGGAGAGAGCTGTGTGGGCTGCCTTGTGGCCCTTAAGCTGGCCTGCTGCCCTCATGTGCAGCATAAGTTGCTCTCCATTGCTAGAGTTCCAGCAAGATTCAACTGCCGGTGCAATCACCATTGTTCCACCTGCCTTGCTCCACCTTCCAGCCCTAGGAATCCTCATAAGGGAGCTGTGCTTAGAGGAAGAACTGTGAGGGGAGAGACTTCATCAGGCAAGGCCTCCTTCTACCTGCCTTGCCCCACCCTCCAGTCTCTGCTTCTCAATTTGTATTGTATTATTTTATGCACTGTGGCTTGCCGTTGTTTTTATTGATGATAGTTTATAAATTATTTATTGTAATTTAAGGGTGGATTTTTGTTTAATTTTTATATGCTGATATTTAATATTCTATACTATTCTAATGGATTGTTGAATATTACTTTATTTGATATAAGTTGCTTATTTTATTATCACATTTTTGTGTTGGATTAGATTGTTATAAGGTGTACATACAAGGTGTCATAAGGTGTACATTCTTTGTTTCTTCAGCTTGTAAACCACCTTGGGTATAGTAAAATAGAAAGGTGGTATACAAATTAAATGTTAAATGAAATGAAAGTGAAAGATACTCTCAGTGAGTGCCCTCTCCCAACATCTTCCTCTTGGGTTAGCTTTGCTTGTCGTTCGATTTCGTTGGCGGGCTGTATACTCACCTATCTATTTTGTTTTCTAGACAGCTATGGCAGGTCAATTCAGATATTTTGACTGTGGCTCAAAGAACATAGATATATACAACCAGGTAGGAATTTGCTGGATTTTTGTGTTGTCTGCAAAGGTGATTAAAAGTGAGGGTGTGTTCCAAGGGGCAGTTTAAATTGGATTTGATACATCCCTTGTGTGCATTTTTTGTGCATCATCCACACAACACCATCCTCGTTCAAGTAGCAGTCCACACGTCCCTCAAATTACTTCTGATTTTCACAACTTATTGATAATCCAATAAAAGAACTGAATTTAAAATCACTTGGTTTACTTTGGTGAAAGTTTGTTGTGTGCAGTTTCATAGATTATTTTTTTTAAGCTGCAGATGTGTACATGTATCTAGGTGATATTCAATCTGTCTCTTCCTAGACGACTCCTCCCTTGTACAGAATTGAAGCTATCACCATCCCAACAGCGATGTGGAGTGGAGGACAGGACTGGGTTTCGCAGCCCAAGGAAATTGCAGAATTGCGGCCTCGAATTACTAATCTCATTCATGACACAGAGTTCCCTAAGTGGAACCACTGGGATTTCATCTGGGGCCTCGATGCTTTTCAGTTGATGTACCCAGAAATACTTGACCTGATGGAGAAGTAGCTGGGAAACTGTTTGGTTATTATTGCTCTATTAATGGTGAAATCAAGGTGGGATTCTGAGATCCCCACAATCTTCAGAAATAAAGTTTAAATATATGTCACCTCATTTTGATTATTAAATTAGTCTTGCTTGCAAACCTCCTAGACAGTCCTTCTCCAAGGTAGCCAGAAAGGATCACAATGAAAATCAGCTCCAAAAAGGACTGAAATGAAAAGAAGTTTTTTAGACCCAGGCCAAGGTATGAGCACCACTAGGTATTAATGTAAGATCAGCAAGGAGGTTTTATTTATTTATTGCATCAGGAAAGTACCCTATGTAGAGTGATACATTATATCCTATTGAATTTCCTGGAAAAAACTAGTTTTTGATTTAAATATATAATAGTGTGACAAGTATATGTGATAAAATGTCTAGTTAGACATTTGCAATGAGTCACTGAGGTTTATTGTTTTGTCAGTAAGCTTAAGTACATAGTCAAAATTAAGTTGCATTTGTATACATAAAAATGCAAGTACATCTCCCTGAACATTCTAAAGCGTGAATAATGAATACATTGTGTTCTGTTTCTGCCAAAATGGAGATGTGAAGCTTTTTTGCACCCAGATCCATTGCCAAAAAGTAAGCAAAACACTTTTGAAGAACACTTGCTTCCTGCTGAATGCAGTCTTCCTGTCTCAAAAAAACACAATAATCTAACTTTTTATCATCCAAAGCATTTCTATATTCTAAAGTAAAGGAACAGGTTTTCCAACCAAAGTACAAAAAATGATGGTTTCATTTGAGGCAGAGCACATCAAAACACATTTGCAATGCATGTTTCAGTCCTGAAAATGTGCAGTGATAATCTCTACTCCTGTAGAGTACATTGTACTAGACCAATCATAATTAACTTCTGCTGTGTCTGAGATTAGGGAGCACATCTTCCTCATCTGGGGAGAATGTGAAGTTATATCCAGGGCAGTGTTGACCCCAAGTGTTTCGTTTCAAAAATTCACAACACTCACAAAAAACCTAAGCAAAAATGACAACACCAACATTTTCCTCCATTCATTTTCATTGGAGATACTTTGAACTTAAGCTAGGTGAAGGGCTTGTTGGTAGAAGATCCACACACCTTTTCTGAAAATACCTAGAACTGCATGTGGCTCAGATTCATCTCCCCCGGACCCTGGGGACTCACAAAGTCTCCTGTGGGACCTGAAAGGTGACAAAACTGAGTTCCAGTTAGTTCCAGCTGAAAAAAAGGCCTGGATCATCACCAAGCTGTTCTTGAGCTCAAATCATTACAAATATACTGCAAATGTGGGCTTGAATTGCAAGATAATGTTAGGAAATTTGTTCCCCACCTGTCTGGTAAAGTCACCTGCACTCCTCTCAAAAAACTTCTGCAGAGGAGAAATATATAACACATTTGGAATATGTAAAGATTTAAAAGTTTAATTAAAAATTGACAAAGGAAACACAAACTTCTGGCTGCCCTCCTGAACAATGAGGGATGGGGAATACAGAAGGGAAATTGCCCTGCATTGGGTAGATTACAGCCATAGTGATATTAAAAAAAAATAAAATTGTATTTAGTTGCCGAGAAGACTAATTTGCCTCTTAAGTCCTTAAGCCACAACATTTGTTGTTGTTGTTTAGTTGTGTCCAGCTCTTCATGACCCCATGGATCAGAGCACGCCAGGCACTCCTGTCTTCCACTGCCTCCCACAGTTTGGTCAAAATCATGCTGGTAGCTTCGAGAACACTATCCAACCATCTCGTCCTCTGTCATCCCCTTCTCCTTGTGCCCTCTATCTTTCCCAACATCAGGGTCTTTTCCAGGGAGTCTTCTCTTCTCATGAGGTGGCCAAAGTATTGGAGTCTCAGCTTCAGGATCTGTCCTTCCAGTGAGCACTCAGTGCTGATTTCCTTAAGAATAGATAGGTTTGATCTTCTTGCAGTCCACGGGACTCTCAAGAGTCTCCTCCAGCACCATAATTCAAAAGCATCAATTCTTCGGCGATCAGCCTTCTTTATGGTCCAGCTCTCACTTCCATACATCACTACTGGGAAAACTTAGCTTTAACTATACGGACCTTTGTTGGCAAGGTGATGTCTCTGCTTTTTAAGATGCTGTCTAGGTTTGTCATTGCTTTTCTCCCAAGAAGCAGGCGTCTTTCACAACATAGCACCCAGAAATTAAAAATGGGTTTGCTGTGCCTCTTTAGTCAGTTATTATGTTCCAGGCAAATCTGATCTAATGAATAAGCGCTGCTTCCATTTCATCATTTTTAATCCCACCAAACCTGTTGTATAATTAAATGCTGCACTGCTACAATGACTTGCTTCCTTGCAGTTTGTTACATTCTAGATCTTATGCAACATTTATTCAAGGTCCCAGCTCCATCTGAGTACCAACGGCAGGTAAGCAAAGGGCTATTTTTTCAAAACAAAACAAAACAAAGCACTGATCTTCTTAATTTGAGTATGGTGATATATTCTTGCCATTTTTCAGATTGTACTCTTAATGAAAATATAACTGATTATTAATTATCATAAGGCTCAATCCTGTAAATGTCAAATCTCAATGAACGAATAATGCTTAATATAATGTCATACATGTTTAAGCCCCAATGAAATTTGCAGGATTAAAGCACTTCACACTGTGAGATTTACAGTGGAATCCTATGCATGTCTCTACATAGAAGTAAGCTCCCTTGAGTTCAGTGGAGCTTGCGTCTAGGTAAGTGTATGTAGCATTGATCTTTTTGCTTGCTAACCTGTACTCATCTGTAAGTCCCATTGAACCCAGAAGGACTTACTTTTGAGTACAAAATCTGCATGTACTTTTTTTAGACTGACTTAAAGAAAGCAGCTGGAAAAAAATTGTTTGGGCTTCCAGAAAAGAATATGGGGAAATTCTCATGCAATTTTGTATTTTTATAAATAAAATTAAGTAATCTTTGAAAAGCATTTCTATACCAGCCTCTTACAAAATGTAAGGGCAATGTACAGCCACATAAAAACACTGAAAAGCAATACAATGCAATCATTAAAATTATTCCTTATGCCTGTGTTGTTGTATGTTACACTGCAAAATAATAGGATCCTCTAGAAATATATATTGGGGGAACAGATGAAGTCCCACAATTGGAGTACCTGAATGAATGTCCAATAGTGAAGTGCAAATATGATCATTGGATTCAGTCCTGCAAGAATTTGTACAGTGAACTTTTGCTCGGGCCCATTATCTTATTTTATAAATTGTGGGGTACATATTTGTGTTTTGGATGAAATTCAATATCTATCATTCACCCCATATTTGCCTTTATTCTAATGTTTCTATTAGTTGCCAAGCAACATTAAGAGATTTCAGATTATGGTGTCTCCACCATTTGGAACAACAGTGGACCTAGCTAGACATGGCATTAATTACATTGTAACATGGTTTTAAAAGTTTTGAAAGCAGGAAGTGGGTTGTCATTTGACATCACAGCATCTTGGGAGGGGGTTTGAAGCCTTCTCAGTCAAAATCTTGGTGGAAATTACCCTCCACCTCCCTTTTGGCAATTGGCACCAACAAAGAAAATCCTATTGGACATGAGAAGTCGCAGGAGATTGGTCACTGGCCTGGGAAATTCTACTAAAAAAATAAAATTAAATTAAGAGTGTTGGGGTTTTTTTGTGTCATGTACTAGGCAAGATTTTCCTTATATCCCATTGAAGTGAGATGCAGTTTGCATCATAATTTTGGGTACTGTGTTTTCTCCTCACTGTTGTTCTCAGGAATGTGCAATTCTCTTATTAATTGGTGAAGTGATGGCAAATCAGTGGCACAGATAATTTTGGCAGTAGTTGGTTAATTCTAGAGCTGGAACTAACTTTTCCAAATTTCGGAATGTGAATTTTGTCTCACACCAAGTGTTGATACCAAAATTTGATTTTTGACAAGTTGAACAAAATAATTATTCACTGTATTACATTGCGTGCCCAGGTGGAGACCCCCCGACCCCAGGCGACACCCGGGGGGAATAATGACACATGACATGTATTATGGGATTAAAATTGTCCACAACTTTATTAAACTTTCAGATGTAGGAAGACCTTGGCTTAGGCATTGGGCATTTATACCTCTCAGTCCCTGGGCGGGGATCTGGGGCACATCAGGGTTAACCAATCTATCTGGGGATTGGGCTGGCTCTGAATGACGTATGTTTAAGCAGAGAGCCCGCCCCCCCATTTCACTGCAACACAGGGGAGTGCACTGACAACCTTTCAGCGTATGGCCAGTGACTCCCCTCAACACAGCTCATTTAATGGGGAACCCTGGGATTGAACCCACGGGGGGGGGGGTGTCACCATTTCATGCCCCTTCCCCATTGAGGGAAGAAAGACTAAAGGATTCTGCTCAAGGCCTGAAACCGCCAAAGTTGTGATGTTTTGCTATGGGGAAGGTGAAACCTGCCAATTTAGTGAAAATTCCTTCCCGGTCCTTTAACAGCAACCATTGCAAGACCGTAGCAGCGGTTGAATACCTGTAAAGAAAAAGTTAACCTGCAATAAAAGGCCTAAACGAAGTGAGGGTATGGCAGGTGAAACTCTGGAGCTGACTGAGAGCTCCTAGGTAGGCTCTACCCCCTTATATGCTTAAAGAGTGGACCCTACCCTTACTTGGTCTGCTCCCCTGGCTCCACCTCCCCAGTCACGATTGGTTATTTAAACTGAGGTTTGCCAGAACCTCAAGGTTCATGACTGGGGAGGTGCTCCAAGAGTGCTCTGCCGGGAGTCATGTAGGATTGGGGGTGCTGCGCATGCAAAGGGTGCCCTCTGTTTGATGTAGAGTGCAGCCATTCTACTCTGTGGCATCTATCAAATATTGCCAAATACCAATCGCCACTGTACACCTGCTGTCTCATAAGGTCTCCATATGTCAAATACAAATGTAAAAACCTTTAAGAATATTGTAATTCATTGATATTGTATTTCTTTGAAACTACTGGTATTGCTTTACCCAGGCCTACAATGTGGCTCGTTTTGATAGTGGCTTGCTTAATCCAAGAGGCTTCCGCTGCAGAAGAAGTTATAAGTGGAAGACATTTGAATCCTCAGGAATTTATGACTGTTGTAAGTTGCTTATTCAAATGCATTTCCTGCAGAATTTCAGATCCTGTGTGGGTTATCCCAAAGAAACAGATTATTCATTTGCAAGTGTTTGACACAAGCCATCTTTTCTGGTTAGGTGAATGACTGAGTCGGGCTAATTTATGCCCTGCTGAAAGTTCAGAGGGCCTAGCTTAATGTAAATGTTGACTTTGAGCCTGCCTGTGTTTACAGGAGATTATTACCTGAAGGCAAACATGAGTCCATTATGAAAAACTTGGCATACATCTTATGTATTTCTCTGTGCTGGTTTACCACACAAATCAAGCAATTTGCGTTAAAGTAGCACAGAATGATTCTTCTTTGACTGTTTTGCACCAGCATGGAGAAAACCAGAGGCAATCAGCATGCTGGGCCACTGCGCACAAAAATATTGGCCAAATGTTGATTGATGCTGTTAGGACAAAGACAGCCAAAATGGATTCCAATTCCCATCAGTTCTAGCTGGCATGGCTAATGATCAGAGAAGATGGGGGTTGTAGTTCAAAAATAAAATAAAATTGGAGGGTCCCACATTGCCTATCCCTTTGTTAGATGGAATTAAAACCAGCCTCTTTGACAACTCTAATGTGTGAACTGGGCTTTAGCTTTGAGCTTTTTGGTGTTTACTATTTCTATACTTTCCCTCTTGTGCTGCTGTTAGGGGACTCCTTTCTCACAAGAGTTGAATGTGGGGCTACCAGGACGATAGTGGAGGAAGGCCGCTAGCGTATTTCTCAGAATCTGCTCCTGTATTCATTGAATACATGAAAGTGTTCCCATGAACACCTCTCTGAACTTTGCCAAAGCTAACCCCTGCTCTGCTGAACTCCTGAAGTACACCCATATGGAAGGAAACAAGTCTAGAATCTGGAAATGTTGAGGATCAGAGCTTTTTTCAGCAGGAACTCACCGGAACTCAGTTCCTGCACCTCTCAGCTGGGCACCATTGCCACTCATGGTGAGGTCCAGCACTTCTTTCTCTAGAAAAATAGCACTGTTGAGACTGGTGGCAATATTTAGCAATTAGATTAGAGCGCCTGGGAAACTGGCGTCTGGGATTTTAAAAAATTTAATAGGAAATGTCTGGGATTTTGTCTGTTCCCTGGATTTGTACTTCTTGAAATATGGCAACGCTAAATTAGATAGAACCATAGCTTCATAGAGTTGGAAGGGATCATTGAGATAATCCAGCCTAATCCAAACCCCCTGCTTGATGCAACAAATCCAGAGCTATAGCACATCCCCTGCTTAAAGATCACCAGCAAGGGAGGTGACACTCCCCTTCTTGGTAATTGCTTCTGTTCTTGAATATTGTAAGCCATTTTGAGACCTGATGGGTACTAAATTGAAAACAACAGCAACAGCTGAAGCCTGTAGATCTAATTCTGCCCTCTGTGGCAGCAGAGAACGTGTTCTTTCCCTCTGGTAACCCTTCAGTGCTTTTGAATCTTCAAAGCCTTTCAAATGTGCTATTTCATTATTTCAAGAAACAACCCTTACTGCAACCCTGTGAAGTGTGTAAGTATTACTACCTGCTAACTGCTGATGCAAAAACCTGATACTGAGAGCTACCTAGTAACCTGTGATTAAGGTGAGACTTGAACTCAGCATTTTCTAGTTCAGTGAAGATAACACAGTTCTCAAAATTAAGTTCTTGGAGCAAATTAGAAAGTGATTTTTTTTGTTTTTAGATTTGTTCACTTTTATGTCCTTGTTTTAAGAAAGCTAAAAGCAGGGGTGGGAAACCTGTTGGTTCTGCAGATGCTGGACTCAACAACCTCAGTCAACCTGGTCCCTGGGCAAGGATTATGCAAGTTGCAGTCCACCCACCAACATGTGAATGGTGCCTGTGGCTTAGGGGCTGGCTCATAAAGTTATTTATCTTGGCTATGCATATATGCCTTGGGGTGTGGGATGGGGTCATGATTTCTTTTTCTCCCAATCTGCAGAATGAAGTCATTAAATACTGGGGATACCCCAGTGAAGAGCATGAAATTCTGACAGAGGATGGCTATTACTTACAAGCAAACAGAATTCCTTGTGGAATGAACAGTTCTAGCAAGACAGGTAATTTTGGAATGTAACAGCTGTGCATTTGGATTCATATAATACCTTAACTTTCTTTTTTGTAAGTTGTTTGAGCTTCATTGTGTGGGTGGGAAGGTCCCAGCAAAAGCTATAATTAATAAATAAATAAACTAAACTGTCCCTGTTCGCTAGGGAGAATTCCTGTCTTCTCAAACCTTACCTTGTTAAAAACTGTTTCATTTATTTTATTGTATGGCTTTCTGGATCAACAATGCTCACTCCTTTGTCATGCTGAATAAAATGGGGGTAGTCAAAATCACACTCTGCTGTGGATTACAGCTCCCATCATCTCTGACCATTGGCTATGCTGACTGGGGCCCAATGGAGATGGAAGCCAAAACATCTGGAGAGCACCAGGTTGGCTACCCCATCTTAAGCTTGATTATAGCCGCATGTACTTATCCTGGAATGAAACAGAAATGAGATGCTTCCTGTTTAAATATTACACGATATTCACTTTCTGAGTGGATGCGCATGGGATCAGGCTATAAATATTCATTCATTTAGACATGCTTAAGATCAAAACAAATGTTTACTAACATATCCTGATTCTGAAGCCAGGCTATAGCTGAGTAATCTCTGAAAGACATCAGCAGCAGTGTCTAATGTGAAAGGTGGGGCAGGGTTAGTGGTCCTTCATGTATGAGGAGTACCATAACAACATCTCTCTTCTTATCTGTGAAATGTTAGGTGGTAAGAAGAGGTGCAAAAGAATTACAGGAACAAGTACCCATGTCTGGCCTAGAAAAAGTGACATTTGTTCAGTAACTCTGGAAGTTCAGGTGTATCCTGCTGGAGTCAGCACTACAAAGCATCACGGTGGGCAGGTTTGATTCTCCAGTATAAGGCAGAGAGGTCACCCCCAGATTATATTTCTTTGCTTTCTTTTCCAGGGCCTAAGCCCGTTGTTTTACTAGTACATGGCTTGCTTGCTGAAGGTAGGTGCTGGATTGCCAATCTTCCCAACAACAGCCTGGGATTCTTCCTAGCAGATGCTGGCTATGATGTTTGGATAATAAATACTAGAGGGAGCAGCTGGTCTAGAAGACACAAGACCTTATCAATTGACCAAGAAGAATTTTGGAATTTCAGGTATGTTAAAAAGACATTTTGGAGCTTAGACAAGAAGTACGCTTTTCCTGACTGCTGTCCTTGACATACATCTATAGCAATCTTATCTTGTAGGGAAAGCACTTCACTCTTGGACAGGGCTTTGAAGCATGGCAGAAGATGTTCCAATTGAGGTCTTGTAGCAATATATATGACTCTGCATAACTCTGTACTGTTAACCTCTTAGCAATTTCTACGCTACTCCCATGTTACAGAATTACATGCAATATAATTGTATATACAATACAAATAAAAGAGCCAAGCCCTATGAGTGGTACTGTTTTTCTATGCATAATTTTATAAATATTAATACCTAATACCTTGCATGTATTGTTGTATGTGTTTATGCCCTGATTACTTTAGTAAATCTGGCATGTATATGCATATGATATCTGTATATTATTACACATATAACCCCAGTTACTTAAGATTAAGCCCCACTGAACTTACTTTGAATTGACATGGTTAGTAGTATGCTGTTAGATGTTTACCTTAAAAAGGAAGGGGAAGAGTAACATGGAAGGTCTACAGGTTTCCCTAGCCTTGTTTTACACTGTGGCAGTTGTTTGTCTAAGCGAGAAAGAGGTTCTTCCAGGATCTTGTGTTTCTGTATCTAAGCGTAGGTGGGCAATACAACTACTGTGTTTTGTATGTCTGTATTTCAGTTTTCATGAAATAGCAATATACGATATTCCAGCAACTATAGACTTCATCCTAAAGAAAACTAGGCAAGAAAAATTATATTATATTGGCCATTCCCAAGGTGGGACACTAGGTAAGTTATGATCAAGTTATTGAAACGTATTTCATCCTTGTAGCCTTTGTTAATTGCGTTGGGACTAGAAGTTGAATATGCAGTACTGAGTCTCTAGGAAGACTCATCCACTGAAACTAAGGTGAACCCTTCTGTTGTTGAACCCTGCATGTATGCTTTATTGCAAATGGTTTGCAACTCAGGGACAGCATAAAGAGCCACTTACACACTTGTTGTTTAGTCGTTTAGTCGTGTCCGACTCTAGAAAGAGATCATTGCTTAAGGTGAAAGCCAATTAGGGTTGCTCTGATGATTAAAAGCATCTATTCGTGGAACAGAATCACAAACTGGTGTGGAAGTGTGGAAAACTGAATTTTGGACTGGGAAAATTAGGAAGAGAGAGAATCTGAAATTGACCAATTGGTTAATCCCTAGTGTAAGCCCCACTGCATTCTGTAGGACTTCTAAGTAGCCCGGAAAGGAGTGCACTGTTAAGGATTCATAGGAGCATAAGAACAATGCAAGTATTGTTTCCCACCCCAATGTACTGTTCCAAATACTTACGGCTCCCATTTATGGAATGCTTTGGGGTTGTTTTTTGCAGGTTTTATTACCTTTTCCATCATTCCTCAGCTTGCTCCGAAAATCAGTCTCTATCTGTCATTTGCTCCTGGCTACACATTGGTAAACAGCAAAGGACTTTTCTATAAACTTTTGGTAATTCCTGATGGACTCAGAAGAGTAAGTATTTCTTACATGATTTAATTACAGTGGACTCAATATCATTATTTCTGAATAGTTTTGAGTGTTGGGTGATTCCCCTTTGTCCAATTTGCAAGTGAGCTGGATAAAAGAAGGGATCTCCAAACACTCATCCATTATTGTGTTATGACTGTGATAAAGAGCTAAAGGTAATTAGACATGCTTCTAAGCAGATTTGGAATTATTTGCGCATTTTTGTATTTCAGCTCATATGGGGCAATAAAGAATACTGTCTTCTTAGCAAGGAATTGAAAGCCCTTACTGCCAAGATATGCAGCTACCCAGTTATAGACAAATGGTGCCTCCGGTTCCTTTCCCTTGGGGTGGGATTTAACGAGAAAAACTATAATGTGGTAGGTGCTTTCTCTTTATATCTTTTGACACAAGAAAAAGAGAAGTGAACTTCTACACATGAATACAGTATGGAGCAGCAGCAGCAGCAGCAGCAGCAGCAGCACTATAGCAGCCCAGCACACACTAAACAATTGTTTTCATGTTATATTTTGCATATTGAATTCTAATAAAGAACCTGGGCCCTGAAGTCTGAAGAGGGGAGGTCAGCTTGAAGTTTTACTGATGAGTGTGGCCCACTGGGTGAGCCCTCTCTATAGTGTACCCCAAGTAGCAGAGCGCCTTCCATTTAGATGAGATTTCTCTGTATGTTTAAAGTTGCTATTGAATATTTATAGGATGGTGCTCTGCAACATAAAATAAGCTATGCAAGATGTTATTTGTAGAGTATAAGATCAGAACGTAAAGCATATGGGTATCATATTAAGCACTGGTATTGTGCTGGTTCATGCTGCAGTGTTGCCCCTAACCAGTCATGGAAAAGAATTAGGAATGAAAAGAGCTTGCTACACAAAAGCATCATTGGAAGAGAGCAAAATAAGAGAGACTGTGGAATGTGTTTGCTGTTTTCATACAACTTAAGGCAGGACAACTTACCTTGTTTTTCCAGAGTCGAGCAGACGTGTATGTTGGAATCTTTCCTGATTTTTCTTCTGTCAAAGCAGTGGACCACTGGGGCCAGGTAGATTTTGATAACTGTCTTCAGAGCAGTGCCAAGGCCTTAGTCCAAAGTCTGGTATTTGGACTGAATGTGCCATTTAGAGTATGTGTTTATAAATAATCAAGTGCGCAGGGCATACCTTCCAAATGTCCCAATTTTCCAGGGACAGTCCCCAAATTATGAAAGCTATTCCTGCTTCAGATTTGATCCTGGAATGTCCCTCATTCCCCCACCAGTGCTGCTACCACCAAACTTGGGGAGGTGGATAAGCAAGTGGTTGTACCGAGTGGCAGTGTCTGCGGCTGAGAGGGAGCCTCCTACCATGGGCAGCTCGTAGCAGCTGCTGGAGAGCAGCGAAGAGGAAGAGGGGCTGCCACCGTGGCGGCCCAGCCTTTTGTGAAGTGCCTGCTCTGAGGGGCAGGCAGAGGGCAGGGCTTGGAGCAGAGCACAAGGAGTCTTTATTTGTTTATTTTATAAAAAGGGTTCATCCCCCCCATCTACATCTAATCTCGCCCCTTTCGAAAACTTATATTTTAGTGTATATTTTTCTTTTTGTGAATTTACCAAAGAATAAAATAAAATAAAATTAGAATGAAGGGGTAGTGGAGGGCATGTGTACTGCATCCCATCGGTGCAGTGCTGGCACTCATTTTCCTCCTGGTAGGAAATGCTCTGCGGTGGCGGGGAAGGGCAAAAAAAAAAATGAGGTGTCAAGGAGGGTCAGTTGGGGGAGAGTGAGAAATGCCCCTATTTTCATCTGAGGAATTTTGGAGGGTATGCTAGGTTGGTTAGTAGAGTCCTTAGTTATACATATATTACACCCAGTGCTTTTTTCTGGGGGGGAGGAAGCAGGGGTACGTGTACCCCTAAACATTCTGTGTTGCCCTGACCGACTGACCGACGGACGAACCAACATGCCAGCTGTCTCTTCAGTAGCAGCGTGGACTGGAGCTCTATCATTCTCCTTACCGGTGGCCGGGGAGGGGAGTCTGGGGTGGCAATGGTGGGGGCAACAGTCTCCTCCTCCTCTTCTTCCTCCTCCTCCTCATTGTGGGCTACAGCCAGCCAGCTAGCACTCTCCCCTTCTCTCTCAAGCCGACTCTGCTGTGGGCCTTTCCGTACTCTCAGTGCCACCTCCTCAAGTCCCCTCATCTAGGGGTTGGGAAGGTGTTGGGGGACAGGAAGGGGGCTGAGGGGGAGGGGGAGCAGCCAAAATGAGAGTTCTCCTAAATATTTTTTTTTAGAAAAAAAGCACTGATTACACCAATATTTAAAGATCAGCACAGGCCCTAGACAACTTGGGACTAGGATACCATTATATGCCCTCAAAAGATTGCTAAGATTTTCAGCAGAGGCCTACTGGCTATACCATGATAAATGGAATGCCAACTTGTGACATCAAGGAAGTGATATTCACCCTCTGGAGTATGCGCCACATGCCACTTTCCCAGTGGAAACAATAGTTACAAAAATAGTAAAATAGTTTGGCTTTTATTTATATATGTTAATTGTTTTATTGTTTTAGTTTATGACAAATATTTCTATCATCTAGCTATCTATCATCTATCTATCTATCTATCTATCTATCTATCTATCTATCTATCATCATCTATCTATCATCTATCTTTCTATGTAAACCACTTAGGGATCATGTATATTTAGTGATATAAAATATTATATATTAATTCCTTAAATAAATTAAATATTTTTACACATATTTTTTAAGGGGCTCCACTATTTTAAGCAAGAGGTTTCATAAATATTGCATGAGGAGGAATTCTAGCAATTCACATCACCTGAATTTGTATTAGCACATGACTATGTTTCAAAATTAAAATTTTCAAACTCTACATAATTCTTGTCCTTCTTCTAGGTCACTAGGACGCATAAATTTAGATTTTTTGACTATGGATGCAGGAACAAAGTTGTATACAATATGGTAAGGAAAAGGATGAGTTTGGGTTCTGTTTTAAAATTCCGCGTTAAAAAAATGCTGTAATGTTTGAATTCTTGCACACTTCCTTCAGGGACTCTTAAAGACTGAGAGAACATCAAAGAAGTACACAGAATTATGGGTTGTATCCAACACTGTGCACACAGAGTTCCACTTGCATAATTAGGGATCCCCTACCTCTGCTCTGGGGCCTCTCTCAATCCTTGGCACAGATTTTAAGAGTGTGCTGCTTAGCAGAAGTTCAGTAGTACATGCAGAGGTCTATAGCACAAACAGATCTGCAGGGCTGGATACGATCCAATGGTTTTATTTCTATGGAAGCAAACAGACAAATAACAAATATGCATTCCAGTCTGGATCCTGACCTTTGCTTCTTTTAATTTCCTTACTAGATGTCCATCTACTTTCTTAAAAAAAACAGCAGGACCCCATCATATTTCTTCTTGAGTAATCAGTTCTTTCATTTTTAATATTGCAACATGTTTTCACATGCATAAGTACTCTACTTTTTCATTTTGTACCCTCCATGATTGTTATTCTCATTAATGTCTTTACAATTCTTTTCATCTTGTCAGCATCATCATTTTAACTGTGATGTGTTCACTAAATATTCCTTATCTGTGGGAATCAACAGAGATTCTTGTACCATTTGTTAAGAAGCTGTTTTTCCCACTGGGGAGCAGAGATGGTCAGCTTAAGATGAGAACTTTCGTTGAATTTAGCATGTATAAATTATTGTGTGAATCTGATTGGCAGGTTTAGCACGGTGCCCTCTGCACATTAGAGAAATCATTTTCTCTTCTCAACATTAAAATGCTAGAATTTCCTAAATAAAGGAGTCAGTAAAATTTCGTAATGTTCTTCCTCAGGTTGTAGTAAACTATTGTAGGATACTATTAACAGTCACTAAGTAAATGTTGATCAAATATGAAATATGTAAATTAAATTCCTGCATTGATATCCATTTTTGCTATTACATGCTTATGGGATCGTCACTCCACACATTCCTTGCTGATCTTGATTCACATGATCCGGAGCATAATATTATACATTAGAGTAATTAATCTTCAACTACCAAATTAATGGATCTCCAAAAATGTACTTCATGTAACTAACATTTTAACACAGGAGGTTTTGCTATGTATTATTGGCCCAGGGAAAACATGCAAGTACTAAAGAGGGGTAAATGCATAAAGGGAAAAATAATAGTTTTTCCGATGCCATACATCCCAGAAGACTGAAGGTTCAGAATGAGGAAATGTCAGAAAGGTACAAAAATATGTCAGCGTCATCACTGAAACCTATTTCTGTTTTATTTTTCACCCCCAGACCACACCCCCATTTTATAAAATAGAATGCATGGAAGTGCCAACAGCTTTGTGGAGTGGAGGACAGGACATTATGGAAGACGTAAAGGATATTCAACTCTTAATCCCTCGAATCCCTCATTTAGTTTTTTACAAGAATATCCCTGATTGGCAGCATCTGGATTATATCTTTGGTCTTGATGCTCCAAAGCGGCTATACCCTGATGTGCTTAAACTGATGCAGAAGTTCAAATAAATTCTATATTTAAAGTATATGTTTCCTATCTTCCATATTAAAGTTGAAACTTTTTTTTTTAAAGAGCTGATATAGTAACATAAGAATATGTCCACAAGGTCTAGGATCCTGTGTTTTCAGAATGGCTAACCAGATGCATCTGAACAGCTCACAAGCAGCACATTTTGCTTTGGTCTCCATCCAAGGGCAAAACAAAGCAGTATTTTGCAAGTGGTGACAGCAAGCAGGACTCCTTCTTTTTACTGCTGCCTTTTTTCTCTCATCCGCATCAAGGGGCCAGAAGGGGAAAACAAGCCCTTTCCCATCCCTGAGCTCTGACCTTCCCATAGTGCCAGACATGGGGCTGACAACATACCCTGGGTGTGGTTCCCATGCACTCTTGAGAAAACTCTGTGCAAGGGATTTTGTGCAGGTGGATGGGACAACCCACCTGCAGATCATGTGACATCATAATGATGCCATGTGATTGACAGGTGGGTGGCCCATGAGGTTGATCCTTATAAGGATCTGGCCCAGAGATGCAAAAAGGTTTGCCACCTCTGTACTAGCATAACTAATAGTTGCTGATAGACTTACTTGAAGTGTACATTGTCTCTCTGATTATCCCTACCCACCTGCTTGTTTACACTCTCAAATAAGTTCAATAAGAAGGAGGTTGAGAAGCTGAAATGTGTTCAGAGGAGGGCAACCAAGATGAACAAGGGTCAAGAAACCAAGCCTGATGAGGAACAGTTGAAGCGTCTGGGTATGTTTAGCCTGGAAAAGGAATGATAGCCATCTTCAAATATCTTAAGGGCTATCACATGGAAGAGGGAACAATCTTGTTTTCACCTGCTCAAACTAATGGCTTCAAGTTACAAGAAGGGAGATTCCAGCTAAACATTAGGAAGAACTTTCTGACAATAACAGCTGTTCAACAGTGGAACAGTCTCCCTCAGGAGGTTGTGTTCATTGGAGGTTTTTAAGCAGAGGTTGGATGGCCATCTGTCATGGATGCTTTGGCTGAGATTCTTGCACTGCAGGAGGTTGTACTAGATGACCCTTGGGGTCCCTTCCAACTCTACAGTTCTAGGATTCTAATACAGTAAGTATCACAACAAAGTGGAAGCAGTCTACAGTTCAAAAAATAGCATAGGGAAAAATACAACCAGAGGATGTATAAGCTATGCCACTAAGACATTCAACTGCCAAACCCTAGGAGCCTTCACTAGGGAGCTATTGTTTGCTCCAGCAGAAGAACCCTGAGGGCCAGAGAGAAGCTGTCTTTGGGCCATCAAGGGATGGTTTCTTCCACATGCCTTGCCTCTGATGGTTGGTGAAAAACTCATTGATTGCCATCAGTGGTTAGCTGATTTCACCTGTGTTACCCAACCTTTAAGCCTTGGTGCCTTCTGATTCTTAAGAGAGTAAAGAAGTCTGTTTGCGAGCTCAATTTGCTTGTTAACCTTTGTTATGTGGATCAGTAAAGGGACGCGGGTGGCTCTGTGGTCTAAACCACTGAGCCTCTTGGGATTGCTGATTGGAAGGCTGGCGGTTCGAATCTGCACGATGGGGTGAGCTCCCGTTGCTCTGTCCCAGCTTCTGCCAACCTAGCAGTTTGAAAGCATGCCAGTGCAAGTAGATAAATAGGTACCGCTGCAGCGGGAAAGTAAATGGAATTTCTGTGTGCTCTGGCTTTCGTCACGGTGTCCTGTTGCACTAGAAGTGGTTTAGTCATGCTGGCCACATGACCTAGAAAGCTCTCTGTGGACTAACGCCGGCTCCCTCAGACTGAAGTGAGATGAGCGCTGCAACCCCATAGCCACCTTTGACTGGACTTAACCATCCAGGGGTCCTTTACCTTTACCCATGTAAGCAGTGTGAGTCCTTAAATATGCATGTATGTATGTATGTATGTATGTACGAGAACCCCTAAGAAAAAGCAAAGGCACAGTAGGAAGAAAGCAAAAAATGTACTTCAGGGAGATTTGAGCCTTCTATACCAGTGTGTTAAAACTTTACATATGGGCCAAGGTTGATGGTTGAAATGAGGAGGAAGAAAGCATGGACTATCTATATTGTAGTGCAGAGCTTTCCAAACTTTTCTTGTTTGTGACACACAGTTTAGACATGCATCATTTTGTGACACAGTAATTCAGTTTTACTAGCATACCGGAGGACTGTGGAGAGAATTTGCACAACATACCTACACACTGCAGCCAATACACTAATGTGTCACAGCACACAGTTTGGAAAGCTCTGTGTAGGTGTTTATAATACAGAATAGAGCCATTACTATTTGGAGAGAAAAGAAGTTACAGTGGCATTAATCATAAACTGCTCTGCCCACAATTTGCAACCAGAAATTCAAGTTTCACAGATATTCTACTGCATATGTCATCGCTGATTGCTCGCACAAGTGACAACAGCCATTACAAGGTCTGCTCCATTGAGAGCTGTCAGTGTGATCTGAGGCAAATAAGAAATTGATCAAAAGCTTTAAACTGATCACAATGATGCAACAGGAAGGTGCACATCTGAAAAGTAGTTCCATGTTCTGTTTATCAGTGTTTGTGAAATTCCTGCTGGTTTCATACACATTTTGGGGCCCAGCCTGAAGGAGCGAGTGACAGAGTTCAGGAGTACATCTCTAAAACATTTCAGCTTCTGCATATGACCCATGTCTCAGAATAATATAGATGCCACAAAGAAGCTAAATGTAACCTCTGTAGTAGAGAAGAAGACTAGCATGTAAAAATACAAACTAACACAGTTTATGTAGTCAATTGCATAGTGGTAACTTACCAAACAGCAGGAAAGGAAAGTATTGTGTCAGTAGATGAGTCCTCAAAGAGACTCCTGTTCATCATCCAAGACTCTTCGAAGCTGTTTAAGTATGACTTATCCCTCTGGATTGGTGGGTGGGGAAATGGAATTCAGGCAATCTTGCTATGGTTTTCCCAGTAATGATGTATGGAAGTGAGAGCTGGACCAAAAAGAAGGCTCATCACTGAAGAATTGATGCTTTTGAATTATGGTGCTGGAGGAGACTCTTGAGAGTCCCACGGACTGCAAGAAGATCGAACCTATCCATTCTTAAGGAAATCAGCCCTGAGCGCTCACTGGAAGGACAGATCGTGAAGCTGAGGATCCAATACTTTTGCCACCTCATGAGAAGAGAAGACTTCCTGGAAAAGACCCTGATGTTGGGAAAGATTGTGAGGGCACAAGGAGAAGGGGACAACAGAGGGTGAGATGGTTGGACAGTGTTCTCGAAGCTACCAGCATGAGTTTGACCAAACTGTGGGAGGCAGTGGAAGACAGGAGTGCCTGGCGTGCTCTGGTCCATGTGGTCACGAAGAGTTAGACACTACTAAATGACTAAACAAGAATATACATGGAAAGGATCACTTGTATGAGTAATAATAAATGAATCAATATAGTCAGTGACCATAGGAGAAAATTTGGGGCCAGCGGATAGGGACTGGTGGAGAGGGGCTGGAGAGGGAGTTGGGAGGTAATGATGTGTAAAATGAGAGTACAGTAAAAAAATGGGCTTGCCAGAACAAAAGCTACAAATGAAGATGATAGACGTGACCCAGGTTTAAAAATCCTTTAACTACAAATCCATACCTCCACCATCAAAAATTTGTAAAGAATTATTTTTAAAGGAACAGCAACAACAATAAGAAAGGGAATGGAAAATCTAAACTATAAAAAAACCCCACAGGAATGAGCGAGACAGTACTGCTTCCACCCTCAGCTCCCATAGGAAGAAGACTCAAAATGGTTTTGCCCTGGGGAGAAATTAGGGAAGGCCCAAGTAGGGCATCAGGCCAAATGAGTTGGGAAAGATTCCAGAAGCTTCTTCTTCTGCAAACACAGCACTTTTATCACTTCTTATCAGCACTCTCCTTCTTGCCCTAAGCAGTAGAAGCTTTGCTAGTTGCCTATTTGGGAATTTTTTTGGGGGACTCCTTGATTGACCTTGGAACTCTTCATTTTCACTTACTCCATACTGCTTGGAGTCCTGTTCTTGGAGTGGGAGTTTTGATTGGTTTAATTGGCTTCTAGTCTGAGCAGACAAGTTATGATTTGGTGGGGTAAATAATGCTCAGGAGGCATTATTGGCTGAAAAGCACTAAATAATTTTGGGACATGATATATGATGAATTGAAGGAAATGTTAAAATCCACATTTCCAAAACAAAACAAAACAAAACACCAGAATTATTTTTATTGGGTATTTTCACAACACACATCCCAAAGGAGAGCCAGCATGGTGTACTCGTAATCTGGTGAACCGGGTTTGCTTCCTCGCTCCTCTACATGCAGCTGCTGGGCGACCTTGGGCTAGTCACACTTCTCTGAAGTCTCTCAGCCTTACTCACCTCACAGAGTGTTTGTTGTGGGGGAGGAAGGGATAGGAAATTGTTAGCCGCTTTGAGACTCCTTAAGGGGAGTGAAAGGCGGGATATCAAGTCCAAACTCTTCTTCTCCTCTTCTTCTTCAAAGGTTAATAAAAGAGTTTTTCTTTATTCCACTACAGCCACCAGGATTCTTGTAGCAAAATATTGGAAGAGTAATGTAAAACCGACAAAAGAAGAATGGCATCTAAAGCTATGTGAATATCTTGAACTAGCGAAACTAACAGACTCAATAAGAAATCATTCGGGAAATAAAATTTATAAAGAATGGGATGTTTTTAAAAATTACATGATGAAGTATGTTTCCAATGATTACGCTTGGTTGAGCATAGACTACCGTAAATTCCACAGAGGTAAGAGAATGTGTTCCTGCAGAACAAGAATAGACACAGAAATGTTAAGATATGAGAAATTAGGAACCGCATAGTGGTAGAAGGAAGTCATTAAACAAATCAAGGAATAAAACCAGAGAATAGACACTGACAAGCAAGTAAGAGTAGTGAGGAGAAATCAACAAGGGGAAGATAAAAGGATGGCTTATTGGAATTATATGTTTAAAATAATGTCAATGATGGTTTGTATTTCCTAAAAGACTGTATGTCATTGATAAGATGTGTTGTTAAACTTTCTTTTTATTTTTTCCATCTTTTTTTCTCTCTTCTACTTTTTCTTTCTTTTCTTCCCCCCTATTTTCTTTTTGTGTAATTTTTTTTCTTTCATAGCAGAACAATGTATCTGATTATGTGTAATTTTTAAGGGGTAAATAAAGATTATTATAAATAAAAACACTGTCACCCTTTAGGCTTGAAAAATGAACTAGAGTGCGTGCGAAACTGGCAGGGCCATGGTGCATTTGCCAGGTTCACATCTCCCCATATAAATCACCCCAGACTCTGCATTCATCCTCTGAGGCCCTTCTGAGGAGATTTCACCCCTCCCATATCCAAGAATCTGCTGATGAGTCTGGTGATTTTCCAGAGAGGAGGGGCGGTGTTCTGCTCTCTACTTATTCCGCTCCAGCCTAACATCAGTCAGTCAGTCAGTCAGTCAGTGTGTCGGAGAGAGAGAGAGACTGAGTGTTAGAGATTGTGTGTATAGATAAGGTTGCTGCTAAGAGTAGCTGCAGACACTCAGTGCAGTTCACTTTTTTAGTTTAGACCTCATTTAGCTCTGTATATAGTTGTATATTATAGTTGTAGATAGAATAAAGAAGATATTCTACAGAGCTGCTCTCCGAGTCGTTTATGCTCTGCTATACTCTGCTATACTCTGCTGTGCGACGACTGTCTTCTTGTGGGAGTGAATCCGGTGCTCACAACACTAAGCTGTGAGTCCACAGCACTTTGACCTGTTCCTGTGCAGAAGGTGGTCTCTGGAAGTGCTACCCAGCTCGCCTAGCCCAGTCAGGGCTGAAGTGGATGAGTCCAGTCGGTGGTACTGGCTCAGGGGCGATGCTGACACCTTCTTCATGTGCCTCCTCCATATGAGGTCTCGAGGGTGGCAACACGAGAACAGGCCTTCTCTGTAGTGGCTCCCCATTTGTGGAATGTTCTCTCCAGTGAGGTTTGCCTGGTGCCTTCATTGTATATATTTTAGGGACTAGGCAAAAACATCCCTCTTTAACCAGGCCTTTAGCTGATCAATATTCTATAGCATTTTAAATGTGTCTCTGGGAGGCATTGTTTTGCTGTTCTGTTTTACTTATTTTCTTGTTTTTATCCTGGGATTTGTCTTCTGGGTGAAAAACTCCGGACATATGGCTTCATTTTTATTCTATTTTTTGAGATTTTGGCCAAAAGAAGCTCAAGAACTTTTGTGTCTGGTTTTTCACTTTTTGAAATATGGTAACCCTGCACAGGTGGAGCCTGTAAACATGCCCAGGAGTGGGAAAGGATTCTATCCCTCCTGCCTTAGGGAACTTTGGGGCTATATTTTGATATGGCTATTATGTTTATTTGTGGGTTGTCTGCAGAGCCTCTATATTATAGCATAAGCTTTCCCACCACAGTTATCGTTTAAGAGTGTGCAAGCAATCAGGAGAAAACAAATTGCAGGAAGGTGTGATTGCTTATGGAAATGGTTAGAGAAGGTGAAAAAAACTCTTTGTTTCACCAAGAACCTTGATGCCACAATGCCACCTGTGAATATAGCATTCAATAATTCACATTATTATAATTTAAGTTGCACTATTAACTGTGAACTTGGTTAATGCGAGGGGGGCGGGGAATGAAGCCAACTACATAAATTTCACAAAAAAACCCCAAAACATGTTCAGGTCAAGTTAAAAGCTTGTTTGTGAGGATAAAGAAGAAACTGATTTTGAACTAGGAAATTCTGAAGGCAAGCAAACAGAAATTCCAGTGAACCCTGAATTCCACTCTGAAGCTCTTAGCCAGTGTGAAAGCTGCCTCCCTATCCCCATACAAGTCTGCACACAAGAGCTTGCAAGCCATAAAGTAACAGGCCTAATTAAGACATACAGGTTACATAGGCACAGGTTTTGCTTAAAGCAGGACAGCAAATTCTAAATCAAATGACACCAAACTGGGAGGGGTAGCTAATGCCGCAGAAGACAGAATCAGAATTCAAAATGACCTTAACAGACTGGTGAAGTGAAGACAACACTGAGCTAGGTGGACTGATAGGAACATAAAGCAGTCTTCTATGTTCCTAAATTACAGGAATCATAGAACTGTAGAGTTGTAGAGTTGGAAGGGACCCAGAGGATCACCTAGTCCTTGGGTCTCCAGCTCTTTTTGGACTACAACTCCCATCATTCCTAGCTAGCAGGACCAGTGGTCAGGGATGATGGGAACTGTAGTCCAAAAACTGCCAGTGACCCAAGTATAAGAAACCCTAATTTGGTCAAACCCCCTGCAATGCAGGACCAAGCAGCTGTCGCATATGAGGACCAAACCTGCAACCTTTGTGTTATTGGCATACATAAGATCAGCACAAACGGCATACACAAGAAGAACACTCTAGCATGTTTTACTAAAATCTACAGCCAGGCAATTATCCCTGGAGTTATCTGGCAAATTAGGGAGATGCAGCTGTATATTTTTAAAAAGCTATAATTGAAAGCTATTTATTCTGGCATATAAACAATATGTAAATTACAATAATCTTAAAAACCACTGTGGTGCAGGATGCCAATTAATCCTGGTGAAGCATGAGAACATCTAGTTGCATAGCCTTCTCTTGTAAGGCAGAGATTAGTCTCACATCCAGGGAGTGCCAGCCTTCTGCCAATCTAGGTTCTTTCCCCGAGAGCATCTACTAGTTTCCTCCTATTGCATGATTCACTGCATAGGCTTTCATTCATGCAGGATACGTACATCTTTATATCCTCATAACACCTCACCATCTGGCCTCCAGCTGTTTAAAATGAAGTAAGATCACGCTATCACCCTTGGAGCTTCAGTGGAAGCAAACCTTATTCAACTAGGCACTGATGTAAGAGCCTGCCACATAGCGCTCCCATGGGCAGCCTCTCTGGTCTGGGTGAGGGAAGTAGAAGGATCCTAGTCCTCACCGCACTTAGAGGGGCCTCAGCTTTCAGAGGGAAGGAAACACAGAGATGGTCAGATACTGTATCCCTCAGTGTTATGCGATTTACTGAAATGCAATTTACAGGGCTACCATGTTAAGTTGCACAAAGCCTGGAGCCTAACAAAAAAAGTTTGCTTCAGTTTGCTAACCAAACTGGCTCCTTATTTTTGAAAGCTTTTATAAGAAGAAAATTTTAAATCCCAGCAGACAGGCATAGACAAATCTGGTTCAGATTGGGGAGCTGCCTCCAGAAGCTCAGAGCCAGAGCCAGTAACTAACAAATTTATTTTGCCTTATCTGTCCGAAGCACCTCAAGAATGCCACCTCCAGCAAAAACAGATATTTTTTCCCCAGTTATCAGGAAGCTGCTTCCCACAGAATACAGCATGCTTTCCCTTACTTCAGAGATAACCATTCCTCTTCCTCATGGGGCAGATCTGTTTTCATTTTTTCCTCACAAACCATCCATCTCAGTTATTCATACTTTTAGAAGACAGAAACATCATTTCTTCCGTGCACAGCACCACCCGAACTAAAATTGCACTCCCTGCCCTCAACCTTTATAAAAACATTTTAAAAAAGACTTCCCATCTTTGCTAAGGAGTTTGAAACAAAATTGTTTTACACAGGTCAGCGATGTGGCTGTTTGTGGCAGTGGTGTGCTTAATGCAACAGACAACAGAGTCAGAAGAATTCCTCAGGAAACGGCACTTGAATCCTCAAGAATTTATGACCACTGTGAGTTGCTTGTTCAGATGCATTTGGAAACAACAGGCTATTGCTAGGACAAAATAATTTGTACATATTTCTTTAAACAGAGATTCCAAAGCATTTGCTTTTCATAGAAGGATTTCCAGGCCTCCCTGAGTTACCCCAAAGAGGGCTAGATGGATTATAATGGATGAATTTGCTTTTGTTCATTACAGCCAGCAGGGGAGGAAGGCAGGATCCAGAACTTTTTTCTCTTCTTCTCAGCACCATTGTTCCTAAAATTCCTTGCAGCGCATCTAGACTTAGAAAAAAAGGTCTCGATTTGCTGAGGATTTCTTTGTTCTTGCAGAATGAAATAATCCAATATTGGGGATACCCCAGTGAAGAGTATGAAATCCTGACAGAGGATGGCTATTACTTACAAATAAACAGAATTCCTTACGGAATGCACAGTTCTGGGAAGACAGGTAATTTTGGAATATAACTGATGTTTTTATAGCATTTTTTTTGAAGGAAGAGAAGGGGCTTAGAACTTTTCATCCTCTGCTCCACAGTCCACACCACCAATGGGCAGGCACTCACATGCCAGGCAGGGGCAGGTTGCAGAGGGCACATGACAGGGATCTCTGCGTAGGGTGCCTGGTTTGCGTTACCTCAGATTGTGTGCCAGGCAATGGCCCCCTGCCCACTGAGGAAGAGTATTGGCAGGATTCCACATAGCCCAGAGGAAACAAATGTGTGTGTATAAATGCTCAGAATGAGCTAATTCAGTTTAATGAAGTTCACTGAATTAGTAGTTGTTGCCAAAATTGCTGCGTGAGCTGAATGCAAATTAACTTCATAGGGGGTTCAAGTTCATTCTGTGTTTTTATACTTTAGACTCTTTAGGCTCTTAAGTTTAAAGTTCATAATGGTTGAAGAAAATAAGTCACACCCCACTGTGTGTGTTTTGATGTTTTCTTAGTCTTCTTTACCTATATGTTATATGTCAGCACAGCAGCTTATAACATTCTGAAAGGTGAGGAAAATTTCAAGGTAATGTGAATTGAACTCTGAACTGAATATGAACCAAACAAGTTCATTTTATAAGTGGACAAATGTGAATTGGAACTAGTTCCTTTCTGGTCATGTTCAACCTGAACTAGAATTAGTTTCTTTTCTAAAAAGACTTTCAAAGCTCTGGTATCTATTTCTCTATGTGATGTTGTGTAAGAATGAAGTGTTTGGATTAAGCTTTTGTGTGCAGAAGCGGTGAATTAATTGTAGAAACTGGGTACAATCTTCTGCCCAATTTTTCCTATCTGAGCAGATCTAATCACCTTTGTTTTTCACTACCTTGTCATGATGAGGTGGTATGGACTAAATGATTTATTTACGCCATTGAGCCAGGCCCTGCTCAAGACATTTTGCTGCTTGATGTGAAGGCCAAGAGCCCTCTCCAATCCATTCCACGTAAAGAAGCCATCCAGACAAGTCCAGGGATAGCATTCTCCATTCATCTTAGGATAACAGGGTTGGGAGCAACAGGGCAAGTCAGATGGCAATTATGCCACTCTGTCCTCACTCTGCCTATCAGTAGGGCCAGCCCTGTATGGAATCTTGCCATAGGAAAGCAGCTACTGATTTTCAGCAATGGAGCTGAAGAATTTGCTGCTTTCTCATCTGATCTTTACTGCCTTTGTATTGGCTATGATTTGTATTGTGTTGCTTTTGTATTGGCTATGATTTCCAGGAAGCATTTGTTTATATTTTTTAATAGTGCCTAAAGGTGAGGCAGCCATGGGTCATCACCTAATTACAATTATCTCTGTCCTATATATAATTGTGTTTTTCTTGGACTAGATGAAAGCATCACAAAGATCAATGTTGGTGAAGTGAACACAAATAAACTATAAGGTAGATTGCCCATTTTGTTTCTGTTTCCCCCCCAAGTCCTAGGCCAGTTGTTTTGCTGATCCATGGTGTTTTGCTTGAAAGTAGGTGCTGGATTGCAAATCTTCCCAACAATAGCCTGGGATTCTTCCTAGCAGATGCTGGTTATGATGTTTGGATGATAAATGCTAGAGGGACCAGCTGGTCTAGAAGACACAAGGCTCTGTCAATTGACCAAGAAGAATTTTGGAATTTCAGGTATAAAGAGACAACTTGTAACTTGGATAATTGAGACAATTGTAGTAACTGCTGTCTCTGAAGTACAACTGCTAACAACATATCATTTTTCCTTGTGTTGTGTCAGAAGTGCTTCAATCCTGGAAAGACTTCCCAAAGTTGGGAAATGGTGGATTGTGGAAATGGTGGATTGTGCAAGAAGAGGGTGGGTGAAGAAGAAGATGTAGGTGAAGGCTTTCACCTGTCCTACTTCTCCCTGCCTCTGCTGATGTCACAGGAGCATGCTTGTCAGTTCACAGTTCAAATACAGAGTTAACTCTTTATTAGCAAAAATACTGGGAATGTGTAGATGAAGTACTAGATTGTCTGGCCCTCGTTCCACCTGGAGCACTACCTAGATGTCAAAGGCGTTGTGGTGGGTAGAGAACTCATCTCTGCCTCTTGGCCTTCCTCATCACACCCTGCTGCTTCAGCTTTTGCATCTGATTCTGGACGACTTTCTGCCACAGACTCTCATAGCTCACTAAGCCTTCTTACTGCTTCAGAGTCTGACACCTCCTCTTTCCTGTCGTCTCCATCTTCTCCTTCTGACCTCTTGTTGTCGTTCCACCACCACTCCCCGGGCTCTGAGCCTTCTTCCCTGGTGACCCCCCAGCTGGTTCCTCTCACCATTCCTCTGCATCAAACAAGTCCATGGAAGCTGACTACATGCTTATTTAGGGTATAAAACCTGACTGAACATGAGGTTGGGGAGGGGGAGAGAAAGAAATGGTGAACTCCCCATTGACCCCTGAAGACTGTACTATTCTTTTGGCGTGGGTGGGGGTGAGGAAACAGAGCTAGTTGGAATTTCTTACATTTCCCCCTTACAATTTATATATCACTTGATTACAATTCTCATGAAGTGGTGGCATTCTAAGTAGTTAACATGCATTTTTAATGGCACAATCCTGTATAGGAATGGGGAATCACAGCCCAAATTACCTCATTATTTGAGGCAGAGTCCATGCATACTTCTAATAGTATGCATTAGTAATGAAACAGAAGGATAAGTGGAGAAAACTTCACCTGCATTTTGTATGTATGACTACAAAGTGGGTGGCGCTGTGGTCTAAACCAATGAGCCTCTTGGGCCTGCTGATCAGAAGGTCAGTGGTTCGAAGTCCCACAATGGAGTGAGCTCCTGTTGCTCTGTCCCAGCTCCTGCCAACCTAGCTGTTCAAAAGCACACCAGTGCAAGGAGATAAATAGGTACGACTGCGGTGGGAAGGGAAACGGCGTTTCCATGTACTCTGGTTTTCGTCACGGTGTTCCGTTGCGCCAGAAGCGGTTTAGTCATGCTGGGCACATGACTCGGAAAGCTGTCTGGGGACAAACGCCAGCTCCCTTGGTCTGAAAGCGAGATGAATGCCGCAACCCCATAGTCACCTTTGACTGGACTTAATAATAATAATAATAATAATAATAATAATAAACCTTTATTAAACCCACCCTTCCCTGTTCAGAAAACCAGTCTCAGACAAATTTAACAACAAATTTAAAACACTTAATTGATGCAACAAAAAACAGCATAAAATAGAATAACTTAACCCTCCATGGGTCCTTTACCTTTACCTTAATGTCTTACAGCATCCATGAAATTGCGATATATGATATTCCAGCAACAATAAATTTATCCTGCAGAAAATTAAGCAAGAAGGATTGTATGTTATCAGTCAGTCTCAGGGTGGGACACTTGGTAAGTAATAAGAAATGAATAGAATGTGTTTACTGCCTGAGCCCTTTTTTAAAAGGCCTTCTTACAATCAAAAATTCCCATCACTGGTATAGTTGAAACCTAAAAATTTTGATTGAAGGAACAATAAGCAAGGACTTTTGGCTCACATATGTTTGGCACAGCTGCTGAATTCTGGAATTCTTTCTCTTTGGCAGGTTTAATTGCCTTTTCACTCTTACCACAGCTCGCTCAGAAAGTCAAGCTCTTTATAACTTTTGGTCCTACCTACACACTTGTCGGCACCAGTGGACCTTCTGTGCTATTTCTCAGTCTTCCAGATGCATTAATAAGTGTAGGTATTTCTCATAGGTTTTTATATTGTGTTAATGTGGCCTTCTAACATAATCAGTTTAGTGATATGGACAGTTAAACCTTTAAGTTTATCCATTTGTCATTATTTTGGGGGAGGTCATGTAATATCTGGTTTAATTAATCCTCACATATTAATCCTAAAGAGAATAATAATAATAATAATAATAATAATAATAATAATTTTTATTTATACCCCGCCCTCCCCAGTCAAGACTGGGCTCAGGGTGGCTAACACCAAATATAAAAACAATTGATTGAAATACAGCTTTAAAAACAAGATTAAAATACAACATTAAAGCATTAAAATGCAGCCTGAGTTCAGTGGAAACTCAAAAACTTTTTTGGGGATGAAAACGTCAAGTCTTCACCAAGGCTAACTATCCAGACTGGTCCTACATGGGCAAGAAAAAAGCCAGGGAAGTCCCCAAATAGGTGTTCCAACACAGAAGGAGAAAGGAAAAAAGAAAGAGGGGGAGCAATCAAATTGATTCCAAGCCAAAGGCCAGGCAGAACAACTCTGTCTTACAGGCCCTGCTGAAAGAAATCAGATCCTGCAGGACCCTGAGACAGAGCATTCCACCAGGCTGGAGCCAGTGTTGAAAAGGCCCTGGCTCTGGTTGAAGCTAATCTGACTTCCTTAGGGCCCGGGACCTCTAGAGTGTTGCTATTTATGGACCTTAAGGTCCTCTGTGGGGTATATTGAGAGAGGCGGTCCCATAGGTATGAGGGTCCTAGGCCGTGAAGGGCTTTAAAGGTCAAAACCAGCACCTTAAATCTGGCCCTGTACTCCACCGGGAGCCAGTGCAGCTGGAAAAGCACTGGGTGAATATGCTCCCATGACAGAGACCCCGTGAGGAGCCTTGCTGCAGCATTCTGCACCCGCTGGAGTTTCTGGGACAGCTTCAAGGACAGCCCCGCATAGAGCGAATTACAGTAGTAAAGCCTGGAGGTGACCGTTGCATGGATCACTGTGGCCAGGTCGGGCCGGGAAAGGTAAGGGACCAACTGCTTGATGTGGTGAAGGTGAAAAAAGGTCACCTTGGCTGTTGCTGTAACCTGCGCCTCCATGGAAACGGAGGCGTCAAGGATTATACCCAAACTCTTAACAGAAGGCAATGGCACTATAATTGGGCCCCTGCAAGAGAAGGGAGTTGGTTCCTCATCCCCATGCCATCCTGACCCAGCCAGAGGACCTCTGTCTTTGAAGGATTTAGTTTCAATTGGCTCCCATGAAACCATCCAGCCACAGCTTTCAAGCATCTGGTCAGTGTGTCCAGGGCCGAGTCGGTGTGGCCATCCATCAGCAGATAGAGCTGAGTGTCATCAGCATGTTGGTGACAACCCAATCCAAAGCTCCAGACAATCTGGGCAAGGGGTTCATAAAGATGTTAAAAAGCATTGGGGAGAGGATTGCGTCCTGCAGCACTCCACGCACTCTCCATGTGTGTTCATTGGTTGAAATAAAGCACTGAAAGAAGATCTCTGAGTCTCTGATTTCACTAGGTCACTAGCCAGTGAGCTGTTGAAGGCAAGCTCCTGTCAGCCACTGGCCTAATCTAGCAGGCTTTTATTATGTTCTTATTAAATACAGGAATCTCTGTCCCATTTAGAGGTAACACTAGGAGGCAGGATTTTGGCTATGTACCTATGGGGCACCATCATGAGCATAAACAAGTACTGTGGGTTCTCTCCTCAAGACTGGAGTTCTGCAGCTGACTCTTGGATTTCTACCAAGGCTTTCAGCATGACCACAGTCCATTTCAAACAGGGTTTTGGCCTGGTTTTGGCACAGAAACTGCTTTGGTTCCCCTGTATGATGACCTCTGTTGAGAGAGAGACACAAGGGAAACATGTCCCTGTTAATTCTTCTCGACCTCTCAGCAGCTTTCGATCAACCATCAAACAACATCAATCACCGAAATAAGGGTGCATGTCACCCCTTTGTGGTGGTTCCAGTCCTACTTGGTCGTTCCCAGAGGGTGTTGCTTGGGGAATGCTTTTCAGCCCCATGGAACCTTCAATGTGGGGTTCTACAAGACTCAATCCTATCCCCTACGTTGTTTAACAACTACATGAAACTGCTGGGTGGGGTTATCCGGAGGTTTGAAGTATGTTGTCAGCAGTATGCTGATGACACTCAGCTCTATTTCCCCTTTACATCTGCAGGTGAGGCAGTGGAAGTGCTGGACCAGTGTCTTGCCTCGGTAATGGACTGAATGAGAGCCAACAAACTGAAACTAAATCCAGATAAGACTGAGACACTTAGTGGGTGTGAGAAGATGGGTGGGAGATTGCCTGCTCTTGATGGGGTTACACTTCCTTTGAAGGAGCAGGTTTGTAGCTTGGGGGTACTCCTAGATCCTTTGCTGTCACTCGAGGCTCAGGTACAACTTAAGTGGATACAAAATAATGACGACAACACACAGGACAAAAAAAATGTAGACATAAAATTTATATACCACTTAATATAAGCATAAATCTCCAGGTGAGTTATATTTTTTAAAATATGCAAGGAAGTGTAATGTACATTTCAGTGCTTTGAACTGATTTTATAATGAAATGATTTTAGAATGTTGTATCATTTTACTGTTGTTAGCCGCTCTGAGCCCGGCTTCGGCTGGGGAGGGCGGGATATAATTTTTTTTAAAAAAATTCTTCTTCTTCTTCTTCTTCTTCTTCTTCTTCTTCTTCTTCTTCTTCTTCTTCTTCTTCTTCTTCTTCTTCTTCTTCCTGCCTTGCCTTGCCACAAGGCATATGATAGTATGTGATAATTCTTTTCTCATAACTGTTTTGCTTACTCTGCATCTGTTCCATAATTAACAATGCACCCAGAAAGACACGTTTTGCATAATTATATAGTAGCTGATGAAAGTGATCTTATTCTCTTCAGTTTATTACAAACTAAGTCTTCTTCAGTGTGCATTAGAGATGTGGTTGCTATTGCTGAACAGGAACAGGTAAGCAAAAATCTTTTCTTCCCTGTATCTTTTTCATTTATTTTCTGGCGACATACCTTGGTCTTACATTTTAATAGCTTGCATTTAACAAAGTTAGACATTACTATCATAAAGTACAACCCAATCATCCAGTAGAAATTAAGGCTACTTGCACAAAGTCTGCTGGCACAGAACTGATTCAGCTGTGGGGGAATCACAAATTGCATAAATGTGTACAAAATTATTTATACCTTACTTTCTGAATTGCATTTGTAGTCTGCCCTTCCTCCATAAGGAAAATACAATATTTAAAAATTCTTAAAACATTAAAAAACAGTAAAAAACATCTAAAAACCAAAAAACCCAAAAAATATTTTTTAAAGCAAATTTAAAAACAGGTATAACAAACACAAATGTAATATGTTTTGGAATACCATACTTGCTTATTCTTTCCCACCAGTGTATGGTTTCATTGTGGGTTAGAATTGAGCCTGCTTAGCCTTATTTCCAAGATAGTTATGACTTTTCCTCATGGGACAGATCTTTTTTCAGTATTTCCTCATAAACTATCCAACTCAGTGACTAATATTTTCAGAAGAGATACATTATTTCTTCCCTGCACAGCATCACCCGAACTAAAATTGCGCTCCCTGCCCAGGGCACTTCCCATCTTTGCTAAGGCGTTTGAAACAACAGATATTGTTTTACAGAGGTCAGCGATGTGGCTGTTTTGGGCAGTGGTCTTCTTATTCCAACAGACAACAGAGTCAGAAGAATTCCTAAGGAAACGGCACTTGAATCCCCAAGAATTTATGACTATTGTGAGTTGCTTGTTCGGATGCATTTGGAAACAACAGGCTATTGCTAAGACAAAATAATTTGTACAAATTTCTTTTAACCGATATTCCAAAGCATTTGCTTTTCACAGAAGGATTTCCAGGCCTGCCTTAGTTACCCCAAAGAGGCTTGATGGATTATAATGGACGGATTTAGCTGACCCCAAGGCAAAATGACATGTTCTGTTTAATGCTTAATACATGGTGCATTGCTAGCTCCTCCTGGTTGCTTTTGTTCATTACAGCCAGAAGGGGAGGAAGGCAGGATCCAGGACTTTTTTCTCTTCTCCTCAGCACCATTGTTACTAAAATCCGATGTAGCACATCTAGATTTAGAATAAAGGTCTCAAATTGCTGAGAATTTCTTTGTTCTTGCAGAATGAAATAATCCAATATTGGGGATACCCCAGTGAAGAGCATGAAATCCTGACAGAGGATGGCTACTACTTGCAAGCAAACAGAATTCCTTATGGAATGCACAGTTCTGGGAAGACAGGTAATTCTGGAATGTAACTGGGCTTTATAGGGTTTTGTTTTTTTAAAGGAAAAGTACTGGCAGGATTCCACATAGCCCAGAGAAAACAAATGTGTACATATAAATGCTCAGAATTACCATAGTTTCTGGGTTCAGAGTGGTTGAAGACAATAAGTCACATCCCACTGTGTGTGTTTTGATGTGATCTTAGTCTTCTTACCTACATTTTAAATGTCAGCACAGCAGCTTGTAACCTTCCGAAAGCTAAGAAAAGATGCCAAGGTTAATTTGAATTGAACTCTGAACCAAACATGAACTGAACTACTTCGTTTTGCAATTGGGCAAATGTGAGCTGGAAGAAGTTGCTTTCTGAGCCAATCACAACGTGGTGGCATGGACTAAAAGTTTGATTTATGCCGTGGAGCCAGGCCCTGCTCAAGACATTTTGCTGTTTGATGTGAAGGCCAACAGCCCTCTCCAATCCATTCCATGTACAGAAGCCATTCAGATGAGCCAAGGGACAACATCATTCATTTATATCAGGATATAAGGGTTGGGAAGTGGGACACGGGTGGCGCTGTGGGTTAAACCACAGAGCCTAGGACTTGCCAAACAGAAGGTCGGCGGTTCGAATCCCCGTGATGGGGTGAGTTCCCGTTGCTCGGTCCCTGCTCCTGCCAACCTAGCAGTTCAAAATCACCTCAAAGTGCAAGTAGATAAATAGGTACCGCTCTGGTGGGAAGGGAAACGGTGTTTCCGTGCGCTGCTCTGGTTCACCAGAAGCGGCTTAGTCATGCTGGTCACATGACCCGGAAGCTGTATGCCGGCTTCCTCGGCCAATAAAGCGAGATGAGCGCCACAACCCCAGAGTTGGCCACGACTGGACCTAATGGTCAGGGGTCCCTTTACCCTTTACCTTATAAGGGTTGGGAACAACAGGGCATGTAACATGGTAATTATGAAGCTCTTTCTTCCAACTTCCCACTCAAAATCCTCTGCTACCTGAAGCAACTGCCTCATTCTGCATATCAATAGGGCCAGCCAAACTATTATTAAATAGTGCCCAAAGGTGGCACAGCCATAGCACATCACCTAGTTAGAAGTAATTATCTCTTTCATATACATAATTGTATCTATTCTGGACTAGAGGAGATCATCACAACGCACAATATTGATGAAGTGAACAGAAATTATCTAAATGGTAGATTGTCTACAATATTATCTAATGCCCTTTATCTTGTTTTTCCCCAGGTCCTAGGCCAGTTGTTTTACTGGTACATGGTGTTTTGAGTGAAGGTAGGACCTGGATTGTAAATCCTCCCAACAATAGCCTAGGATTTGCTCTAGCAGATGCTGGCTATGATGTTTGGCTAATAAATAATAGAGGTACCAGCTGGTCTAGAAGACACAAGACTCTGTCAATTGACCAAGAAGAATTTTGGAATTTCAGGTACAGTATAAAGAGACAACATGTAGCTTGGATAGTTGAGACAATTATAATGACTGCTGTCTCTGAAGTACAACTGCTACCAACATATCTTTTTTCCTTGTGTTGTGTTAGGGTCCTTCAGTCCTGGAAAGACTTCCCAAAGATGGCCAATGGTGGATTGTGGTTCCTTTTCTTAGCCAACATCAACATGACAAATTTCATGACTGAATTTTACATGCAGACTGAATTTCTTGGGCTCTGAGATGTCAATAAAGTGGTTTCCTAGACTGCCCTTGATGTGATTATACCATTCTGAAGGAAGTGGGTACATAGCTTAGGGTACTTTTGACCCCTTGCTTAAGAGTCAGGTGGCCATGGTGCTAGAGAGTGCTTTTCACCAGGTGCCCCAGCTGTGCCCCAATCTGGACAGGCATAGCCTAGCTTCTGTTGTCTATGCTCTGGGAACCTATAGGTTGGATTACTTCAACGCATAATACGTAGGGCTGCCTCTGAAGATGGTTTGGAAGCTTCAGCTGCTGCAGAATTTGGCAGCCAGGTTGCTCACTGGGACAAGATGGTTTGAACATAATTCTGGATCCACATGTCCTTCCACAGTGGGGACATAGGTTTCTGGGTGGGAATTGATCACAGTGGCTTCCTCTTAGTTTGTTTCTCCTTTTTGCCATGAGTTCATGCTTCTTCAAAGTCCATGACACCTTTGATAAAGGCTTTTCTGCAATTGGAGCACTCACAGGCCAGTGTTTCCCAGCTATCAGTGGTTATACTACATTTTTTTAGATTTGCCTTGAGATCATTTTTAAACCTCTTTTGTTGTCCACCAGTATTTCACTTTCCATTCTTAAGTTTGGACGAGAGTAGTTGCTTTGCAAGATGATAATCAGGCATCTGAACAAGATGACCAGTCCAACAAAGTTGATGTTGAAGAATCATTGCTTCCACCATGGTGATCTTTGCTTCTTCCAGAATACTGACATTAGTTCACCTGTTTTCCTAAGTGATGTGTACACTTTTTCAGAGACACCGTTGATGGAATCTTTTGAAGAGCTGGAGATGGTGTTTATAAATAGTCCATATTTCACAAATGTACAGTAAAGTTGGTAATACAATAATTGGTAATACAATAATTGGTAACACAATAATTTATAAACAAGCATTTTGGCTTCCCTGCGAATTTACCTGGGAGAAGAAAGAAAGGCTCCCAGGTAAGACCTGAGGGTCCACTACTTTCTGTGTGAGACAAGGGTCAAGAGCTACCTTTGAGAGAGGACTGGTTTTGTTTTTATCTAGATCAGTTTCATCTATTTTATCATGAAAAAGCTTTAATAAAATTTAGAAGACCTCTGAAGGAAGCACTGTATTGGGAAGTTTTTAATGATTGATGTTTTATGATGCTTTTATATTTTGCTGGAAGCCACTCAGAGTAGACCATCTGGGGAAATTTTGATCAGGGCAGCACACTCTACAGAATATCACAGAGAACTGACTCCAAAACAGGCATTTCCTGTTCTTGCCCCTGCACTGTGGAATGCCCTTCCCTCTTCCATATGTAAAGCATCATCAGTGTGATTCCGTGCATCATTCCTGATGTAGATCTTCATTCTCCACTTGGTCATAATGAGGACATTTATTGCCACCTTGTCCCGGGTGTAGATCTTCACTCACTGCTTCCTCCCTGGAGGGAAGTGGTCCAATTTTGTGGTTCACCTCCAGTGTCAGAATATATTAGGCTAATACTACTAATATATAAGGCCCTGAACAATTTGGTATTTAGATTACCTGATAGATGGCCCACTCTTGTACTGACTTGTTAGTTCCTCCAGACATAATGTGAAGACACACCTTTTTGCCCAGACATTCCAAGATGTCCACCTCTTAGACTGTAGAAAAGGACTTCTGAATTATCATTTAAAATTAACACAGTTGTGTGATTTCATATAATTTAATACAATTCTTTAAAATTATCCTTTAACATGTGGACAATGTACATATCTGACAACCTATTGGGCTAGTTTAAGGGTGATATAAATATTTAAAGAAATAATAAATATGTATCTACTTTCTGTTTCCTTACTGTTTCCATGGGACAATAAACTTACTATGTCATCCTCCAGATGACAGGTTATCATACCTGACACCTGATGTATTGTATCTTTTGAATTTATACACTAGTGTCCATAATTGTATGCAATTGCAGACAAGCAACATTTCACCTATATTCTGTGTTTGTCTTTCAGCTTTCATGAAATGGCAATTTATGATATTCCAGCAACCATAAACTTTATTCTGCAGAAAACTAAGCAAAAAAACTTGTATTATATTGGCCATTCCCAGGGAGGTACGTTGGGTAAGTTAAGAAGAAAGAGAATGAAATGGCTTTTATTTTCTCGCCTTCCTGCATTATCAGCATTATCAGGGACCTACTGGGGATGTGGTTAAGTCTCATGACTATTGGGAAGACTAGTTCAGAAAAGAAAAGAAAAGAAAGAAAAGAAAAGAAAAGAAAAGAAAAGGTTAAAGTACAGTTTAAAAAGGGGGGGGGAGCAGAGCTCACATATGTTCTATGAGAAAGTCTTTTCAGGATCAAGACTTCAGTAGTCAAATTGGGGCAGCATATACAGCTGTCATCAGCTCCACAGTCATGAAGAATGTCCATTTGTGGTGCGAGGGAGCAAAGACCAGCAAGCATAAAATAAGTGGATTCTGCTTAGACCTGATATCTGACACATTCTCTTGAAAACTCCAGTGCCTAACTTAGGCAGATGGACACCCAGCATCCCAAAAGAAAATTGCCCTGAATTTGTTGAATGACAGGCATTTCAAAAGAAGAGAGATGGGAAACTTTTGACCTTGCAGATATTTGGACTGCAGCTCCCATCATTCCCATCAAGCATGGCTGATGGGCTCAAGGTCCAGCAACACCTGGAGAGCCACAGGTTTTTTTTAATATCTCTTATTTGTTTGTTTGTTGCAAGTGCTATGTTTAGAATTCTTTCTTTTTTCCAGGTTTTATTGCCTTTTCAAGCATGCCACAACTTGCTCAAAAGGTTAAACTCTTCATGGGCTTGGCTCCTCCCGACACATTGGCAGGCTTGAAAGGACCCTTTTCTTTACTTCTAAACCTTCCTCAAGAATTGACAAAAGTAAGTATTGCTCAAGTTGTTGCCATTGTGCAAACCCAGAATTTTAATATATATTTTTCTTATGCATCTTTATAGAGAGTTAGTCTTCCTGCCATCCATTTCGTTTCTTTATCTCAAAGTTGAGTGTGAGCTTCGGACTTCCAGTGCGATCACCATGTCCTTTGGCAGCTTTCCCATGGCACCAGACTCCACTTGTGCAATTTATCAAGGATAATATGGGGACAATTATCCCTGGTGACCCCCCCAGGGCAGGGGGGATTTCTCACCTGCGGGTTGTCCGATATCTGCCGCTTGCTACAATGGAATGCGGGGGCAGGGACGCTGGGTGCTTAACATTGCTTAAATTGGAAACTCAATTGCCAGAGCCATGAGCGGGAGTATTCCTGTTCCTTAAAAAATATTTCGATTCAGACTTTGAAACAGGTGTGTTCTGGAAAGAAGGAGACAAAAAAGAACCTGCTAAATAAACCAGTCACTGAGTGCTAAGGTTTGATCTGGAAAGGGCTTTCGTTGTTTTGCCGCGGTATACATGAGGTGAGCATCTGTTTCTTTTCTATACTTGCTACTTGCTACTTCATGACTTGATAAGCCTCACAAAGAAAGATTTAATTAACTAAATGGAATGCAAGAGGAACTGTACAAAAACTTGAGAATTTGAAGATTTATGGCGCGGATCTCTATAGAGATGTCTAACTGGAACTGGCAAGATATGAAGGGACTTTGTACAAAAACATGATTAGATATACTCTCGGCTTGGGATGATAAAATGGCACAAATTATGGTGCAATAGAAAAAGAAAGGGCCTCTCTAGGGAGGTTGAAAACAACCGATGGATTACAACCAGGGAATATTTCACACAAGAAATTACCGTACATTTGCTTGCATGGATTTCTGTTGTATATGAATTAATATTAAAGTGAAGGTGAATCTTTGATCTTTGCAAGCTTCCCCTAGGGCCTGGGGGGAGCAAAGCTTGGATTTTAGAGGAACCAAACAACTACTAACAGTGAAATATCCCTTATGGCACTGCCTCCTACTGAAGACCCTTATCTGGATTTGCAAAACATCAGTTCGTTAAAAGACTCGAAGGATTGCTATGTTTTAAATGTTATCAAACAAAGGAAAGCTGGAAGACAGCCCAGAGTCCTGGAAGACAAGATCGTGGAATGAAAAGGGGACCTCTGAGGGGGACTGCATTGAAAAACAATTGATGAGCAAACAACAGGAAGAACAAAATTCCTTTTGCATGCTAACACACATATGGGTTTGTTAAATATGACTGAAAGTTGCATATCAGTGACTGTTATGATAAGATATAGGATTAAGATCGGAATTATCTCAGGGTCTTGTGAAAGAACAATGTTAAACAACAATTGATGTCCTCCTACTACCGGTCCACAATAGAAAGTGTCCTCTCATATTGTATCACAATGTGGTACGTTGGCTTGACAGCCACGGACAAAAAGTCTTTACAGAGGGTGGTGAACACAGCACATGATATCATGGGCTGTCCCCTGAGCCTGCTAGATGACATCGCAAGGGATTGTTGCCTTAGGAGAGTGAGAAAAATTATCAGGGACGATTCACACCCCGGCCAGCACCTCTTTAATCTTCTACCCTCGGGCAGGAGATATAGAAGTATAACACTGGTCAACAATAAATTTGTTGTCTGCATTTTTTCAGTTAATTTAGGATGAATCTGATGCGCTGAATCCAAAAATCACATTGGTTTTGATCAATCAGGTCAAGTTTTTGAGCTATGGCCACATGTCGGTTTTTTACGTTTTTGTTCACATGCACGCTTGTGTGGAGCATTTTGGAAGAAGTTGGTGGGGGTGAAATGCCATGTTGAATAATTGTTTTGATTGGAAATGATTATTATTTTAATGACAAGAAGTATTCAGGTCTGATAGTTCTGGGTGATTATGTCGAAAAGAGATCAGTTTGAAGTCATAAAACCTCAAAATCATCCATAAATGGGTGCGGCAAAGCATAAAGTTGCTTACCATGCTTATTTTGGTATTAAACTTGGTGACCAGGATAAAGCTTGGGCGCCACACATGGTGTGCAAGGCATGCACCGAGACTCTATGTGGGTGGACCAATGGCAAGAGGAGTCTGAACTTTGAAATTCCCATGGTTTGGAGGGAGCCGACAAACCATGTCACTGACTGCTACTTCTGCGCTGTTGATGTGACTGGGATCAACAGAAAGAACTGGAGCAGCCTCAAGTATCCTGATCTTCAATCAGCACGTCGTCCTGTAGCTCATTGTGATGAAATTCCAGTGCCTATCTTCGGAGAACTTCTTGACATTAGTGACGAAGATGCCGCCAGTATTGAAGGACATGAAGAAGAAGAAGTGGTTCTTGAAGATGATGCTCCACATCCATTTTACCAAAAGGAGTTGAATGATCTAGTTCACGACCTCAGCTTGTCAAAGGACTCTGCTGAACTGTTGGCATCCAGATTGAATGAAAAAAACCTCCTCTCTGACAGTGCTCGCATCAGCTTCTTCCGCAACAGGCATCAAGAGTACCTCGGTTTTTTTCTCAGAAGAGAAGGACTTGGTGTATTGTGCAGATATTGTGCAGCTTCTGCTCAAGCTTGGAGTGCCACAGTATGAACCCAAAGATTGGAGACTGTTCATTGACAGCAGCAAGCGATCACTGAAATGTGTTCTGCTACACGACGGCAACCAGTTTGCCTCTATACCCCTGGCTCACTCGACTACACTGAAGGAGAACTATGAAGCGGTGAAGTATGTGCTGGAGAAAATTGGTTATGATCAGCATAAGTGGTTTATTTGTGTTGACCTGAAGATGGTGAACTTTTTGTTGTGACAACAGTCTGGCTTCACCAAGTACCCATGTTTTCTGTGCATGTGGGATAGTAGGGACTGTGCTCAGCATTACACGAAAAAGGACTGGCCTGTGCGGGAGAAATCGGTGCCTTGCAAAGAAAGGAACGTCATCAACGCCCTCTGGTGGACAGAGACAGAATACTCTTCCCACCGCTGCACATCAAGCTCGGCTTAATCAAGCAGTTCACCAAGGCTCTGGACAAGGATGGTAACTGCTTCACTTACTTGTGCCAGGCTTTTCCAGGATTGACCATGGAGAAGTTGAAAGCTGGCATTTTTGACGGTCCTCAGATCCGTCAGCTCATCAGAGATCCAGAGTTCGGAAACTCAATGAACGAAGTGGAACTGGAAGTGTGGAAGGCATTTGTTCTGGTAGTGAAGAACTTTCTTGGCAACAATAAGGCCAGAAACTATGCAGAACCTGTCAACAACATGCTGACTGCTTTCAGAAACCTGGGCTGCAACATGAGCATCAAGATGCACTACCTATTTTCACATATGGACCGGTTTCCTGAGAACCTGGGTTCAATGAGTGACGAGCAGGGGGAGAGATTCCATCAGGACATGAAAGAGATGGAGACCAGGTATCAGGGTTGCTGGGACGCAGTCAAGATGGCTGACTACTGTTGGACTCTGAAGAGAGACCTCCCTGCCGCTGAGCATTCCAGGAGTTCCAAGAAACGGAAGTTCAAGCCCTGAAGTTTGAAAAATGGTGAAGCCACATGCAATTTACGTGTACTTACCTTTATCAATGCCCACCACTCAGTTTACAGTAACTGATGTTTCTATCAGGTAATCAATATATGTTGTTGGAAAAACCTTTTTTTCTCTTAAAAACATATTTAGGATGATATGTGTCAGGCAACTACCATCAGTGCCGGAGGGAGAGAGCAAAATACAGAGGGATTCCGGAGAGCGTCCCGGGATTGGGAGAGGCAGCCCATCTTCTGGGGAAGAGAATCAGCGTAGCACCAGTGGAGAAGGGGGGCAGATGGGGGAAGCGGCGAGGTGGTCCCATGACTCCTTGCCGGGGACCAGCGGGGAGAGTAGAGGTCCTCCGCTGCCTACGCCCTCCTTGCGCAGAAGGCTTTCGCGCAGAGAGAGTAGGAGGAGACTAGGTGTCAAAGAGATTATTTGCTGGAAGAAGTTTAAGAAAAGCGCACTGACAGATTCTGCCAGCGATTGAGACAGCCACGGGTGAGTGGCTGTCCGGACAGCAAAGGTTCACTCAGGCAACCCAGCCAGGTGTTTGCACCGGCTTACGCACGAGCAACCCCTAGAATCACTACTATATGTGTTGACAAAAATCAGCTGATAATGCCACAAAAATGTAATTGATTTTGTCACAAGATCTGATTTTTTTCAAATCAATATAGCACAAAAACCTGACCTGATGGAGAGAAACGGATGCCATTTCCTGATTCAGCAGTGCAAAAATACCCTAAAGCAGTTGTAGAAATCTAGACAACATTCAAAAAGTAAAAAAATTGTTGCCCAGTGTAATCAGTCGTACCAACAGGCTAAAAAACAGTTTCTATCCGTGGGCTGTTAGGCTGCTGAACGGAAAATAATATAGTGCAACTGACTTTCAGGGTTGGTGTGTTGTGTGACAAGCACACAGAGTGCAATGAGATTGAGTGTTTGCGTGTGTGTGGGGGAAGCTTGGTTAATTTCATTGTACACAGGTTGTACATTGACAATAAAGGTATTATTATTATTAGAATTATGATGGGAACAATCAGGAGAGAAAAGGCAGGAACAAGAAACAAAATATTTTCTCCTGACCAGCCAGAACATGGGAAGTCTCTGTAAATTATATACAGTGGTACCTCGGGTTAAGTACTTAATTCGTTCCAGAGGTCCGTTCTTAACCTGAAACTGTTCTTAACCTGAAGCACCACTTTAGCTAATGGGGCCTCCTGCTGCCGCAATGCCGCCAGAGCACGATTTCTGTTCTCATCCTGAAGTGAAGTTCTTAACCCGAGGTACTATTTCTGGGTTAGCGGAGTCTGAAGCATATGTAACCTGAAGCATATGCAACCTGAAGCGTATGTAACCTGAGGTACCACTGTAATCGGGAATGTATGATTGGCTTTGTTATTTGGATTATGATGTGGCAATATTTGATATGTTATTAATTGGAGTGTTATTAATGAAAAAGTAATAAAAATTATTTTTAAAAGGAGTGTGAGCTTGAAGAATTAGAAGGTAGTGACTTAAGATTTGGATCACATGGACATTTGTGGTATGACAAGGTCAGAGTCACCATGGACTTTTTTATTTTATCAGACATACTATATTGAGGATATAGAATATATAAAAACATATGTGAAGATACCATTATGGATCTCAACACTAGAAGCACTTCATAGAAAAGTGTCTATAGGCAAAGAGAAATGGTTAATATACCAAGAATAATTCTTCTTTGGCGATCACTCATAGCCCAGTAGGATTGTCTTCCAAGAGCACAGTCTTAAGAGGAAGTCCCTAAGTGATTGCGTCCTTCCACAGTGGGGAAATAGGTTTTCAGGCGGGAGCTGCTGATGGCTAGAGTTTGCCAGACATACCTTCCTCTTAGTTTGTTTCTCCTTGCGGCCATGATTTCGTGCTTCTTCAAAGTCCATGACACCTTCAGTAAAGGCTGTTCTCTAACTGGAGTGTTTGCAGGCCAGTGTTTCAGAGTTATCAGTGCCTATACTACATTTTTAAAGATTTGCCTTGAGAATCTCTTTAAACCCCTTTTGTTGTCCACAGTGTTATTGCCACCAAGTATTTTTATAGTGGAATCAGGAAGACTGTAAACTTAAAGAGAGATTTAACTTATATTAAAAAGACTTTCAGTATAGAAAAAAATTGACAGACTTTGAAATACAGTTGTGTATGGATGATTAACATGTCATGGTCACTGTGAGTGGGTCTTCAATGTACAAATTGCTGTTGAAATTTGAAATGCAAGAATAACAAGTTAAGGAATGTATGATGAAACAATGGGGACGTATTTGGATTAAGGGTTAAAATACACATTGCGTTCTCACTGGATGAGTTGAATAAGGTTCACAAATACCTGATAGAGAAGGTATCAGAAGTTCTTTATTGTCCTATCTTTTTTTCCTTTCTTCTCCTTTTATTTCTATATATTTTCTTCTTCTTTCTCCTTTCTCTATCTTTCTCCTCTTTTCTCTATTTCCCTTTTCCTTTTTTTTATAATTTTATTTGCATACGCTTTATAAATTCCAATAAAATCTATTTTTTTAAAAGGGAAAGAAAAAAGTGCCAGTGTGGTGTAGTGGTTAAGAGCGGTAGACTCATAATCTGGTGAACTGGGTTCGGGTCCCCGCTCCTCAACATGCAGCTGCTGGGTGACCTTGGGCTAGTCACACTTGTTTGAAGTCTCTCAGCATTACTCACCTCACAGAGTGTTTGTTGTGGGGGAGGAAGGGAAAGGAGAATGTTAGCTGCTTTGAGACTCCTTAGGGTAGTGATAAAGCGGGATATGAAATCCAAACTCCCCCTCCCCCTCCTCCCCCTCCTCCTCCTCCTCCTCCTTTTTGGTGGCTGCTCCCAGACAGGATGAAGACTCTGTCACAGTCAGGGATGCTAGAAAGGAATGATTGACATTCCAACCTGCATGCGTCACAACCAGTACCATTTGCGTTCAGCTTCTGCCAAATACTCTGTTATTCATCTTACTGTCCTCTATTGAGAATGCCCTTTTCCAGGACCCACTCCCAAACTTTTTATGAATTATTAAGAAGGCCCCATCTGCCAATCTTAACACCTGAGAGGCTGTGTGGGAGGGAGGTGGTTGGAGTGCACCTCCTTAGAAATCTCTCCTCAGCTATCCAGAGCCAGGCCTACATCAGGACCTGGAAGCAAAATTGTATAGAAAGCCCTGGCATATCATCTTGAGCATGCTTGAAGAAAAGTGGTATACAACTGTAACATAAAGGAGATCTATTCCTAACAGGAACCTTAATGTTTACTTCCAAGAAAGGACGGTTATTTAGTAATGCTTCAGATTTTTTTATTTTATTTTTTACAGCTTATATGGGGCAAAAAAGAATACTGCCTTTTCAGTAACAAACTAAAAGCCATCAATGCCAAGATCTGCAGTTATCCAGGGATTGATAGACTTTGTCTTGAAGGCATTGTCTTACTTTATGGACGCAATGAGAAAAACCTAAATGTGGTAGGTAGTTTTATTCTCTATCATTTATTTCTTTTTGAAAGAACTTGCTGTGTACATATACAAAACAACAAAAGAAAATCAAACAAAATATAGTATTTGGAGTTCCTTTACACTTCTCTTCCATGGTGAAATTCTAGCGGCCTATTCCAATAAATGCTAATCTTTCTTTTAAATTTTATTTTCAAAATTAACTTCACGTCTAGTAGGTAGTTGGTCACTTACTCGTTGCCATAGAGGAGGAAATGCACCACACTCCAAATATCAAAGAAGTCTCAGAGTGGCTTATTTTAATTGCTTATGCTAAACTCCAGATGCAAAGACAGGAAGAATTCCTATAGTGGGGTGGACTGTGATGAGGTGAACTTTCTGCCTGCTCCATGTGCTGTCCAGGTGCTCACTGTTGAGAGGCAACTTCAAGGCCCCTGTTCTTCCTTCTTATGGCTCTTTATCAGCTGGATTCACTATGGGTGGGAGATACACATCTAGGTACCCAGACACCTCTTCATCAGAAACCTGCTTCCTTGTGCTGCATGCAAGTGTCTGTATGCTGCACTACCTTGATTGCCATGACCTATTGCTTTGTAAATAAATGTGTTCCTTGAAACCTCTTCAAGAATGGGAATATAAAAAAGCATTTTCTTTCCTATCATTCTTCCAGAGTCAAGCAGATGTGTATCTTGGAATTTACCCTGATTTTACTTCTGTAAAAACTATCATACACTGGAGTCAGGTATGTTCTAACAAATACCTTCTCAGCATATGAAAACATGGGAGTCAAAAGTCTGACGTTTCGACTTGCCTGTTTAGTTTCTTATGTTTGTGTTTTGGTTCTAAGGTTTCCATTTCATTTTATAAAAGTGTAGTTTTCAAGATTACTGGACCACTCAAAAGTTATATTCTAGCTACAGTGGTACCTCGGGTTAAGAACTTAATTCATTCCAGAGATCCATTCTTAACCTGAAACTGTTCTTAACCTGAGGTACCACTTTAGCTAATGGGGCCTCCTGCTGCTGCTGCGCTGTCGCCGTGTGATTTCTGTTCTCATCCTTAACCCGAGGTACTATTTCTGGGTTAGCAGAGCCTGTAACCTGAAGCGTCTGTAACCCGAGGTACCACTGTACTTCAATATTCAAACATGAACTGTAACAACTCTTTGGATTTCATGGGAAGAACACAGGAAGCTGCCCTTTACTGAATCTGCCCATTGCTCCTTTGAGTTCAGTATTATCTACTGATGGGGGTGAAGACAGGAAAACAGTTAGTGGAACTGCAGGCAGTTAAAGGCAGAGCCCATTCTCCTTGCTGCTGTGTTCTACAAGGGCAACAATGAGACTAAGTAGGAAGCTGATAGGCAGGCAGGGGGTGGGTGGAGGAGGGAAGATGGAGGTTGGTGGGGTACTGCCCCATGCACCCGAGTGCACTAACATCCGCTGGTGCTGGGAATCCTCACATTACGGAGAAGGTGAAACATATTGCAGTGGTCTTGGCAGCTGAAGATTAGTGAAGGCTGGGCAAAAGAAGAGGTCAATATTGTGGGCATAGGCACCAATTCTATGGGGTGAGGATAGCTCCTCTCTCCCAACATATGTGGGAATGGGGCTGAACTCCCTCAATCTTGAGGGGCTGGGCTCAGTTTTTTAATATTTTCTCACAAATGAGGATGATAGATATGTTAATAACCTTCTACCTGACTTTCTACTTTCCACTGTTTTAAGCAGAGCTTATGGTCCTATCATTGGCCAGGGTGGATAGGTGGGAATTCTGATAACCAAGATCCCAAGAGTTTGATTTTTTTATTGTGTTTTCCATCTTTCAAGAGGCTTTTGTATTTTGAACATGCACCAAATTTCAAATTGTGTATAAGTGTTTTCCATCTTTTTAGGTTGCTAAAACCAACCAATTTAAGTATTTCGATTATGGATCAAAGAACAAAGCTGTCTATAACATGGTAAGTGTTTTGGATTCTAATGAGAGATTTTGGCGGCAGGTTAAACATTAAATGAGAACCGTGTTGTGATTTCTGAATTCTTATATAATTCCTTTGGAAAAGATGCAGAACTGGTTGTAATTATGGGTTTATCTATGAAAGTGTATGCATTTAATGAGTAGGAACATAGAAAACTGTCTTATGCCAAGTCAGACTATTGCCCCATCTATCTCTCTATACTGATTCACAGCAGCTCTGATTCCAAGCCCTATTAGAGAACCTGAGAGACCTATGACCTTCTACACACAAACCAGACCCTCCCTCTGTCCTGAAGAGCACGTCCTCCTCATGAGCCATGAGGGCTCTCATTCCTTTTGCTATTCTTACTGGTCCAGAGTAAGGAGTTGGATACTTAACAAATAGTTAAAGAATGATTTTCAAGGGACAGATGTTAGACATTCAATGTATCTGAAGATCCAAAAGATGTCTTTAAAAAGAGGAAAATAAATAAAAGTGAACCTAATTTTCATCTTTCTGTTCTTTTTCTCAACAGAGTACACCCCCATTTTATAAGATAGAAGACATTACTGTGCCAACAGCTGTGTGGAGTGGTGGGAATGACATTGTTGTAACCAAAAAGGCTATTGAACGGCTGCTCCCTCGAATCCCTCATTTAGTTTTCTATAAGAATATTCCTGATTGGCAACATTTTGATTTTACCTGGGGTCTTGATGCACCAGACCAGTTGTTTAAGGATGTACTTTGTCTGATGCAAAAGTTCAAATAAAGTCTTAATATGAGGGGCAGAACATATATATGATATTAATGCCTTTTAATAAAGTCTTAGATTGATTGTTTTCTGTACTTATGTTCTTCCTTTCTGTCGCAAATAATATTAAAGGTGGCTAGAAATAACAAAAGGATCTAAGGAAGAAAAACACATAACAAAATTGATGGTAAAAAAGTAACAACAAGCTGGTGCACAGCCTCTAGTACTACTTATTATAACAATATGCATATTTATATTATATTGTGTAACCATGCATTATAGAATAAACTTGCTTCTGTTCTGCAATGAATCATGAAATTCCTTACCCGAGATTTCCCCACCCCCTTTAAAATGTAATAGAACAATTAGTTGCAAAGTAAAATGTACTCTGCATTTATATTGTTCAGTGTTGTCATATTGAACAGAATCCTAATTACAGTGGTACCTCGGGTTAAGTACTTAATTAGTTCTGGAGGTCTGTTCTTAACCTGAAACTGTTCTTAATCTGAAGCACCACTTTAGCTGCTGCACGATTTCTGTTCTCACCCTGAAGCAAAGTTCTTAACCCAAGATACTATTTCTGGGTTAGCGGAGTCTGTAACCAGAAGGGTATGTAACCTGAAGCGTATGTAACCGAAGCTACCACTGTATCTAAATTGATTGTGCAGCAAACGTCTAGATGAGGTTTGAGTCCAGAAATTAGACATAAATCATACCAGTATTTTTAAAATGTTTTTATTGGTTTTTCACAGTAGAATAGTAAACACAAATACAAACGAAACAAAACTTGGAGTACAATTTGTTACAGTTGATAAAAACAATGAGCAACAATTTCATTTCTAGAAATCACTTTTGCTAATTGATTGAGCTAAGATGCTTCAAAGTATTTACCGTATTTTTCGCTCTATAACACGCACCCGACCATAACACACACATAGTTTTTAGAGGAGGAAAACAAGAAAAAAAATATTCTAAACGAAACAGTGGATGTATGATTTTTGTGGTTCATGCTGTGGCCACAGACATGTGATCTGACGGTGAGTTTGGGGTAGCCCAATGCAAAAATCCTGAGGATCCATGTGGATCCGTGCTTTGTAACCATGTTTTAAGTGGGGAGGAAGGAAAAGCACTCAAGGGACAAGGAACACGTGTGGGGTGGGTGGAGAAGGATGCTGTTAATAATGCAGAAGAGGGGTATAGGAGGAGAAGGCTCCTCTCCTCTCCCGCTTTGCTCCTTTAAAGGCTCTGCTTCTATTCCTCCTCCCCAGCTCGCTGAAAAAAACAGCTCCGGACTCGTGTAAGCGGCTCCTCTCCTCTCCCGCTTTGCTCCTTTAAAGCAAGCAGGCTCTCTGTCCCTCTCTCCTCCCCACTCAGTGGCTCTTCTCCCGCTTTGCTGTTTCAAAGCGAGCCACGGAGGAGGGAAGGAAGGGGAACCATGGATCCTCTGCTCACGACTGCAGCAGATCCCCCGCCATCCATAGGCATTCGCTCCATAACACGCACAGACATTTCCCCTTACTTTCTAGGAGGAAAAAAGTGAGTGTTATGGTGCAAAAAATACGGTAAGAGGTTTGGGAAGCCTATGCCACCCTGAAACCTGTGTCTCCACAGCCAATTAATGTATAAACAATTTGTCCCAACCTTGGGCCTCAAATAGTTGTGTGGTTAACCCAGGGCCGTCTTTAGCAGATGCGGCGCCGGGGTGCAAATATCCGCCCAGCACCCCCAAATTACCATGGATAGTGTTGGCTGGTGCACTGCCAGCCATGGGAAGGGGGGGCGCAACTCTCCCCCATGCTGCTGCAGGAGAGCGATCCCTGTAGACGTATGGGAGGGAAGTTGCGCCCCTTTCAAGCCTCTGCGGGAGGAGAGCAATCCCCACAGAGGCTTGGGAGGGAAGCTGCACGCCCGCCATCCTTATGGTTGGCGGGGTGCAGCTGGTGGGTGTGCAGGGAAAGGGAATGCCACTGGCAAAGCCGCCCAGCTCCCCCACTTGCTGGGGGTGCCCCTAAGAGGCCGGAGCCCTGGCGCAACATACCCTTAAGCCCTATGGGAAAGACGGCTCTGGGTTAACCCTTTCTTGGTGGTCAAACACCTTCATTTACCTCAAGGACTGCCTCTTCCCATATGAACTGACCTGAATCACATCACTTGACACCTTTCTTTGTGTGCTTCCGCTGTGAGAGATCCAGAGGGCGGCAGCATGAAAACAGGCCTTTCCTGTGGTGGCTCCTCCTTGTGGAATGCTCTTTCCAGGGAGGCTTGCCTGGTGCCTTCATTAAATCTCTTTAGGTACCAGGCAAAAACAATGCTCTTCTCTCAGGCCTTTGGCTAATTAAATAATCTATGGACTTCTAAATTCTTTGTGTGTGGTGGGGTATTCCTTTTGTATGTTACCACAATATGTATGTTTGTGTTTTCGTATTATAAACCACCCTGTGATTCTTGGATTAAGGGTGGTATAAACATTGAATTAATCATCATCATCACCATCCTTCAGTAACAAAATGGATAACATTCAAAACCCTTGCATTTGAATCAGCTATTCTGTGACTAGGCATGTTGTTATAGGTTTATTTATATCCCACCTTTTTCCCTGACAGGGACTCTCCTGGTTTTCTTTTAATGTCATGAAAGGCTTTTTTGCTTTGCTCTGCAGTCAGACCAAAGCACACTTTCACTCTTTCTTTAAATGTCAGATAATCAGAGGTTTCATCTTCTCTTAAATCTGAGTATATCTCACTCAAAATTCCACATATTTGTGGGCATAAGTACAGCATCCAGTTTTCCTCAGGGATATTTAAGTCTTTACAGGTCCATTCAAAACTAAACAGGAATGCCTGTACATCATCACCTTTGACATACTTTGAAAATCTCTTTATATTAGCTGAGGTAAAATTTCCACCCCCCCCCCCAACAATGGTTGCGGCAGTTCTGCTCTCAGTTTAATTTCCTCCATTTTTAAAATAAACATGTCTTTTTCATGGGCCATCTTGGCCTCCCTTTCTCTCCCCCCCCCCCATGAGCTACTTTGCTTTCTCTCTCTCTGCCATAGCTCTCTCAGCCTGTATCTGTGCTAACTGAATGTCAACTTGATTCTGACTTGTTCAGCTGCTAATTTTGCCTTTTCTCTTTCTGCTTCAACTTTATGTTTTTCTTTCCCTGCTTCAGCTTTGGCCAATTCAAATCTTAGCCTCATCATTTCTAATTCAGTATTAGGATTCTCCTCAGATTCAGCAGCTCCCTGCACTGGGTCCTCCCGAGTCTCTTTTGCTTGGCTCTTGCTGGCCATTTTCTGGCATAAATTTTTCCCTCTTTTAATAAAATAACCTAAATACTGTATTAAACTGGATGTTCTGTATCTGTGGGCTTGTTTCTGTGTGGGTTTTAACTTCGTATCATGGCGCTGCCACCAATTACCGTAATATGTGACGGTGCGATGGCCCTTTTCCCCCTGGCGCCAGTGGGCCCGCCCTCACTTAAATATAGTGCACCCACCTCACAGAACCCCAATTCCATGAATTCCCACAAACTACCCCAGATTATCTTGTGGGGGACGTGTGAGGGAAAACTTAATAATTTGGAGTCTCAGGCATGATTTGATCAAATAAACAATAGAGATTTTATTTAACAAATGAAGTTTATGACAGAAGTGGGTAAAGCATAGAATACTTTAGATTATACAGTGGTACCTCGGGTTAAGAACTTAATTTGTTCTGGAGGTCCGTTCTTAATCTGAAACTGTTCTTAACCTGAGGTACCACTTTAGCTAATGGAGCCCCCTGCTGCTGCCACCGCACGATTTCTGCTCTCATCCTGAAGCAAAGTTCTTAACCTGAGGTACTATTTCTGGGTTAGCAAAGTCTGTAACCTGAAGCGTCTGTAACCCAAGGTACCACTGTAATGTTATTTCACTTCAGTGCTTTCTCAATTGTTGCACAGCTGTTGCCGCTTAATACTTTGGTTCTTAAACAAGGTGGTACTTCCTGTCAGTTCCACACCCCTTAGACAACCCTACTCCTGAGGTACTCCAGGTAACAGACCCAAGGAATACCTCACCTCTCTTAACTGGTTTGGGACTCTTCTCTTTTCATAGAAGAATCTCTCCCTTCCTGACTGGAACGAGACCTAAGTAGACTGTACTCTCACAGCTTCTACTTCTCCTCGCTCACCCTCAGCCTCCCAGTTAATTCCTCGCCTAATTACTCTTACAGGACACCACACACTGTCCTTCACACTATAAGCCCAGAGACTTCTTTCTCTAGCTTGTGGTATATTCCTCAAAGTGATGTTTCTACCCAGAACCAACTCTCTCTCATCTCACTGCCTATCTCCCTACCTATCTCCAAACCTGTTCTCCCAACCTCAATCCCAACCCACCCCCAAAACCTAACTCACTGTTTTTCCAAATCCTATGCTTTTCAACTCCCTCTCCTGGAACCCGGGCAATCAGAAGCTGCCATTCATTAACTGTTTGCTAGCAGGGAAAAAGGAAAAATAAGACACTTGGGGACCCAACCTGCCCAACAAAAAGAAACTTTTCTGTCACAGATGGCACCTTCTCTTTTGTGTCTTCACAGCTACTGAAAACATATTTGTTCAGACATTGGTAGGTTGCTAGCTGTCAGCAGGTAGTAGGAAGTAATGGTTCTGCAGTTTTAGCAGTCTGCTTTACCTATGTGTTTATTTGCTTTCATTTTATGTTATTGTACTCCTACTTGTGTGATTTTTAAATTCAGTTACTACACGAAGCCCACAGATCACTAACATAATTTGGAACAAATAAAAACAATAACTTCCCACAAATCCTGACAGAGGATGGCTACTACTTGCAAGCAAACAGAATTCCTTATGGAATGCACAGTTCTGGGAAGACAGGTAATTTTTATAGGAATGCACATAGCCCGGAGAAAACAAATATTTGCTTAAAATGCTCAGAATTAACTAGCTCAGTTAAGTGAAGTTCACTAAATTAGTTCAAAAATCTTTTAACTACACCTGACAGTAGTTGCCATAAT